TATGTATTGGTCTTGTGCGAAATTTCACAAACCTTTGAACTCAATCTTCTTTGCATTGCAATTGCAATTCTGTTTTAAACCAAACCTGGTCTAACCTTGAGCAAGTGTTGACACAAAGTTTAATAATGCTGCAGCCAGATGGGGACTGGCCATTGTTCTGATGGCCCTTTATTACGAATCCCAATAGTCTTAAAAATGTCCCTTTGGATTGAAAGCCTAATAGTCCAACAACCCTTTAACCAGACAACAACAGACCTCTGCTCCAGTTTTTCTGAAAATACACATTCATTCACACATTCTTCTCCTTTTTTATTTCCTAAATTGTTACCCATTGAAAAGCAAATAAAGTAATCTTTGATAATAAAAACAGAATACAGGAGTGAGGCTCTGATCATTATAAAGCTGTGATTTCAGGTACTGACATGCACTTGGTCTTTGGGGCACTGACAATTATTCAATTGCGGAGGTTTCCGAGTGCATGTCAAAGATAGCAAAGAACAGTGTAGTAGAATAGAAGTATAATTCTTCCAGTATTTAGGACAGTAACATATAATGCTCTTGTTGTACTTGTTTCTTTTTGATATCCGTTCTTATTGGCTAACTTACTTCTCGGTCTTGTGTAAATGTGACTTGATCTTTTGTGTCAAATAACAGCCACCAAATTTTATTTCAATGCTGACTTTTCCTTTAAACGATGAGTTTTTTTTATCCCCAAGTCCTACAAAAAATGTGATGATGTAACACACTTTAAAAACGATTTCTCTACTGTGTGTTTAAATTAAAATTGAATGGTACTTGAAAGCTTCTCCCTTTGTCTGAGTTTTGTTCTGCCATAATTACCGTAACACATCATCAAGAAACTGGAACACTTTATACATATGATTATTTGGACCGTGACCTGCAGGTCATCGCTGACACAGATGGATGATTATGTCTAATTGTCTTTTATACAATAACAACTAAAGATGGTGGAGGGAGTAAATAACAAGGTCGCAGAGGAAATGTATGTGCTTCTGCCTACATCTGTACGTTATGAGTCACAATTTGAGAGGTGAGCTTAATTAGGCACACCAGCAGGCTGCCATCATCACCATTTATTTCTTCAAAATCTCTCTGTTCTGCACTCCAAACTTTTTTTTCCTTTCCTCTTCAGTCTCTTGATCTCTCTCTCTGCATCAGCCACTGCCTTAACCCATACCACAGAGGCACAAGAAATGTAGCTGTAGCCAGCTTCAGTCATTTTGCAACTGCTGACACAGCAGTGCTCTCACTGTGGTAACATAATGATCTTACTTCTTAAATTAAACTATGTATTTATTGAGATTTTCCTTTTGTTCCCACAACAAAAGATACATCAGACATTAATTGATCATCAGACATAATTTGGATTCAGAAGATGAGCTGTAACTTAAACAGGTTAAAAACCTTCTCGCAGACAGAATATTTTTTAATTAAGATTGACAGAATATTCAGAGGATTGTAGAACAGCAGCAGGTTTTTTAGACAACCTACTGAGTTTTTGCAAGATCGACAATTGATGAGGTCTGTGACTCGATTTACATGATAAATAATAGAAGACAAAAACTGTGGCAAGTACTAGCCTACTAATACTTTTTCTAATGACTGAAATGATAAAAATGTCTTTAGTAAGATCCCATAGGCCCCTTTTAGGCAGTTAGCTTGTAGTACCTTGAATCTGAACTAAATATTACATCTAACTAACAACTTACAATTGGACTGTAACGGTATATCTTCAATAACTTGAATTGATTTATTTTCTTTTTCATTGTGGTTTTATATGTTGCTGTGACGCTCTTTAAATGATTTCTGTGATAAAAAAGGTATAAACCAATAAACTTGGCCTTGTCTTACCATAACATAGACATTTTGGCAAAACTTTTTTTTCAAGTTTTCATATACAAAATGTGAAAAGAGTTGCAATGGTGGAGATGCTCAGTCTTTAAACATGAACCTGGACTTCATCCCCAACAGGTCATACATCCTAATGAATCCTCTTGCCCCTTTGCGTTGTTGTAATCGCATCAGACCTCACCGCAACACACAAGTTCAGGGTTGAGTGTCCTCACTCTTTGCAGGTCTGAAGGATCAGAACAGCTCAGAATCACACCCTCCACCCCTCCCTCCCTCCCTGCATGCCTTCCTGCTAGGTAGTGCCATCTTATGGTTAGGGTTCCCCACTGCACTGGGGACCGAAGCACAGGCAGAGTTAGTACTGCAGTTTTACTTAAAAGATATATGACTACGCTTTTTTTTTTTTTTTTTTTTTTGCTCCGTTTATTGGAAAATAATGATAATGATGCTGATAAGGAGTCAGCACACCAGAAGGTCACTGGTTCATATCCTATGATTAGCTGGGTGAACTGGGAGTAGAAAGTGAATAAATAATGCTCTCTTTTCCCTGAACAGTTAATGTCCAATTGTCCTAACCTTCAGTTGCTCTCTTGTAGACCAATAGTAGAACACTGTGAAGTCTGCTGTGAAATCACCTTTTCCTGTTTCAGGGTAAAACAAAGTTGAGGTATGCTGCATTTTTTAACGACTTTTGAACAGTTAGGGGGTGTAATGAAGTTAGCAATATCACAGTGGAACGAAAAAAAGCAATAAATCAATAAATCTGTTCTTTTATCTTGCTATCAAATCACAAAACCACAGATCTTATTCAAACATATATTGCTAGAAATAAATGAAGCTATCCATGCATTTACCTCATCACCTATTTTTTCTTTATGGGATAAAACAGAAGGTTAAAATTCCAAAGGAGAATACTACATCATACTTATAATATACTAATCATTTCATCATATTTAATCACTTCAGTACCTTTTTCTATTCAACAGTCATAACACGTTTACTAGTTGAACCAATATTTCCTAGTAGCTTCAGGGCTAAAACCCCAAATGTAATCAGGTGATGGTTCAGAACTGCTCAGCCTCCGTCGTCCACCTCCGCATGCTGTGCATTTTAATTTGGCTGCTCCGGCTCAGTGGTGAGGCTACTGTCTGAGCCTGTTTTGTCTCTGTGTCCATCATTCTTTGGTTCTCCTTGTCTTTTACTTAATCTTTCACTATCTTCACTCGTCCATCTCTGCCTCTCTTGTCTGTCTGACCTTCTTGCTTGCACACACACCATTTATCACAATGCCAGGCACATCTGACTGCAGCATTCTCTCACTGTCTCTCCTTCTCAGGCAGCAGAAGGACCGGGCAACTGCTGACCCTCTGATCAGATCATTGAGTGAATACTTTTGCCACTGTTTAAAGCCAGTCAGTTAGACAATATATATACGTATATATTGTGTTGCAATGGGCGGTCCTTCGTCTTCTAATATGAAACAATTTATTGTACCACAGACGACTGCACATAAAAAACACCTACATTATGCTGCATCATCACACTGGGAAATGTCTATGACTGCTAATCTTCTCTCTGACAGACCGGAGGAAGCTGAAGATGATTTTTTTTACCAATGGGACACCACCCTGGGGGGCAGCTCAAAATGGCTTATTCAAGTCATGCAATTGCATCACAACAAAAGGTTGATAAAATGAGTTTCCTCTCTGACAAAATCCAACCCAAGATGAGACAAAAGCACAACACTATGAACACATAAACATTTTAAAATGATTTTATAGACTGTTAAAACCCTTTTTAAAGACCTAAATATGTCTGTTAGTACAAACAAACTGTTGCTAAACTGCTGCATTGCACGTGTCAGCAGGCAGTGGGGTGTGAGGTATTCACTGTCCGGTTCATTTCTACCTCACGGCTCCAACATCCGACCATGTGAGCCGACCGGCAACGCTACTTGTTTTCGAGGTGTTGAATCTACAATTCCCTCTTCAATCAGCGGGATCGTAGCGTTGCCCACAGACATGATCTCACAGCCAGGGTCGAGCTGACACAAGCCCCCTGCTGCAGCCCTTTCCCCTGGGTCGGCTTTAATGTCATTAACAGGTGGGGGGCAAAAATAGATAGGACGGAGGCATAACATACACATACACACCACAGTTTAGGAGCTGGGGTTGTGTGTACGTGTGTGTGCTGTGATACATTTCCACACAAGTACATTTTAAAGCTGAGAGACCTGTCCAGCACAACTGTCCACGTTGGCATAAACAAACAGATTCATTTACAGAAGCTACAGTGTGACTGCATATCTCTCTCTCTCTCTCTCTCTCTCTCTCTCTTCTCTCTCACACACACACACACACACACACACACACACACACACACACATTTTAGGCACTTGGCTCAGGGAACACACACAGATATGAAGGCCTGCAAGCTAATACGCAGGCATGCACACCCACACACACACACACACACACACAAACACACACACAAGCACACACACACACACACAAGCACACACACACACACACAAGCACACTTGCACACACACAGACACTCACACACTCACTCACTCACACACACACACACACAAATATATAACCCTATATGTACATGTGCACAGGTACACACACACCGTTCACACACAAAACACAAATATATGCACACACACACAGGCACGCACACACATACAGGCATTTAGCTGATGCTCTTTTTCACCTCCACACACATGCACAGTCTTATAGCCCCAGTCCTCCCACACACGTAACACCCACTCCCACTCTGACCTCCGCCCCTTTTTCCCCTCCCTCACCCATCCACCTCTCTCCCTCCCTCGGTCACTCTCTCTCTTCTCCTCGCCCTCTGTCACTCCGAACAGAAGCACACACACAAAAACCAGGTCAGCAACTTGTTAATATCATTGTTGTGATATTTGTGAGGTGGCGGCGAGCGTTGTGAAGCACGCGTGCAGCACGTGTTAAAGAGTGAAAAAATAAAACTAATGTGTCTAATTTCAGCATGATATGTTCTGGCTGCTGAACTGTTTAAGGGGGGGGTTGGCTGGCTGGTAGGGGAAATAAAGCTGAACTGGCTTCTTCTTCAAACGTTGCCTGTTCAGAGTGTTTATGAAGTCGAGTTTGCTGTTTGCACGATATAAGGCAGGAACTTTCTCCTCAGTGCCGATTCCATGTGCGCTTATTTTTGGAGAGAGTAAGAAAGATATTTTAAGAGAGTGAACTTGTTGAAGAGTGTTTGTCGCCGGTCACAGCCTCTGTAATGAGTTTGTTCCTCGTGCTTCTATGCTACTTTCCAATGTGTCCAACTGGATGCCGTATAAGGAGAGCCGTGCGCAGCCTTGACGAGTAAGGAGAGCAGAGATGAATTTATTTAACATTCTTAACTGACACTTTGTACCAGCTGATTTTCTTGATCACCAACATTTAATTAACTTGTTCTGTAATAACAGATTTGAAACTTGTTTTGTTGTTGTCTTCTTTGCTTGTGGTTTTATGTATGCAAGCCTGTAATGACCAATGTTCATCACTGCGACTTTGACAAATTAAATGCACTCTACTTTTAGGTAGAAATATACTTTCTCCCTGAGATAACTGTACGATAAATCTAAATAAATAAATAAATAAACATATAATGAAAAAATACCTGCATCTGAGGCATGTGTCTGCCAAAGTGCCTTTGAGCAAGATGCACAATGCCTACCTGCTTCTCATTGTACAGCTCTTTGGATTAGACCATTAGCTTAAAACTTACTTCTAGTAATGATAAAATCCTAATATCTGTTGTATCAGAAGATCAGTTCCTGAGTTACATTTAATATTTGGACTGGAATGATGGTGTGATGGTGCTAATTTAGATTAGCAATTGCTTGTTTAGAATGGTCAATTTATTAATTATCATTAGTCAAATCTAATTATTTCAGTTTATGTGATTATCTAATTAATTTGAAGATTTATTTGATCATTTACCAAATGCAATAGAAATGCGATCTTCTTCTATTTATTGAAATATTTTCAAAGAACACAACTGCATGTCTCCACTCAGGATCACGTGTTTGATGTGAGATGTGAATTAATAACAGGATATGAGATACATTTATGAGTGAAAATGTATTTATGTGAGAAAATATATATATACATGTGATGTACTGTACTGTGCTGTTTTGTAATATCTGTGTCTCACAAAGAACTTTGGTGGAAAACAACCCTAAACCTGCACTCTGTAGCTTGTTAACTAGACAGACGGTGATGTGAAAGTAAAGTTATGTGTTCTCCCCGGGGGATGTGTTTCATTTTTGCTAACAAGAGGGAGGGCTGCATGTCATGTCTGTTGTCACCACATCCTGGTGGAACGCGACAGGACAGCTGTTTCATTCACCCTACAGACATAAAGGGTTTAAGATTCAATTCATCGGCAGCGTATCTGCGTGACTTCTCCATCTCAGAGCTTCTCGGAATAGATAATTGGTTATGGCTCAAACATGATGAGTGTTTTTGTTGCCGCCGAGGTATACCACACAGCGTCTCAGAATAGATCGCAGGTTATGATTCCTGTATGATGAGTGTTTTTTCTAAGTGTTTGCTGTCACATAACATCTCAAAATAGATAAGTGATTGTGATTTCACTATGCTAAGTGTTTTTATATTGCTTTTCTGTCCTAATGAAAAGAGTATAACAGACAGCACAGATAATCATATGTGACTGGAGGAAGCTCTCACCAGTTCTTTCTTTTTCACAGTTCAGTTTTTTTTGTTAATTTCTCTTGTCTTCACACTCTATAGTAGACTTGTTTGTGTTCACACAGCACTATTACAGAGGAAACAGTGCTTTTAATTTGAACTTACTGGCAGTTTTGGTCATTGTTAATTTATAATTTTGGCAGCAATGAATCCCAGAAAACCCTATTTGCCTTGGCAAGCATGCATTATATCACAATACTGCTAGCATTAGGGTTATGTTTGTATCATGAAATGTACAATTTGCAGCAAGTTCCATGCCTGCATCATTCCTCCAAATACATTTGTTCTTAATATACGGTGGATGACATTATGTGAACAAAAGACCAGGATCTCAATTTCAGGTGATTATATATCTAAATGGTTAGTTACTTTTACTTTCTCCTTCTTTCTTTTCTCCTTCCATTCTCATCTCTAGGAAGCGTCACGTCATCCACTCCTGACTTCTACCTCTACAGACTCTAAGTGGCGACACTTTTCTACACATGTTTTCTGGCATTTTCTTTTTCCAGGATGATTAATTTATCAGTTGTGCATCTGTCATCAACGCCTCCATTTTTTCTGAGGCTTTTTCTCAAGAGAAGGCTGATTCCTGCCTTTTCCTGCTAAAGTTATAGAGACGTATGTTTGGTTTCCAACACCAAGGAAACTTTTTGGGTTTAAACTTTTTTGTCTGTTTTTCTATCATGCTTTTTTGCTGTTAGTTCTTTTGCCCGTTATTTTCTTTTTTCAGTTTATCTTTCTACCTCTGTGTGCCTTCCCCTTCCTTTCTATCAGATACACCTATTGGACATTATATTACTTTAATACTGTCTCACTCTCTTTTTTCCTGTTTCCTGATTGTTTGTGGGCACAAACTGAGAATACACAACAGTTTTCCTTTGTTTTTGTTCCTGTCTTCAATTTTTCCATTGCTCAAATTCGACCATCACTGTCAAAGGAGAAAACTCAAAGCAAGCTCGGCTGCCAAACTGAATCCCACTAGGCTGTCTTAGTTGTTTTTTACTGTGTCACATCATGTGGTCTACCTTTTTGGTGACTGATGAGGAGGGCCGCACGGTGTGCCCGGCGGCGGCAGGAACGGTGGGAGGGGTTGCTCCGGGAGTAGCACCCCAAGGTGCAGGAGGTCTGACCAACCTGATGACTGGACGCAGTACGTTTGGTGGGAACAAGCGCCGCAGGGCGACGTCAACAGGACACGCCATGAGTGAGGCCCAGGAAGGGAAGGTGACTGATTTGATATTGTGTGAATGTGTGTTCTCCCTCAGGCTGTATGAAAGTACTCTGGAATTAATGGAACCAATCAATCACACAGCTTCTTTTTCAACTGACATCAGGCTGTTCCACAGAGCAAGAAAAAGCCCATAAGAGCAGATGCCTTCTAATGTTAGAAAACAAGTATTTGCAAAAGACTCAATGCAGTTTTCTGACATTAAGAAGATAAAATGTTATGTAACCAAAAGAATAATATTAATTGTCAGGTGTTCATTGGGGATATAATTGCTCAAAGATAATGCAGCCAGTTGAGTTTCATCACTTTCTGACATATACCTACAAATTGATTACCATCGTGAAATATTTCTATCCCCTATCACCCACAGATCTCAACTGCCCCTTTGATGGTTGATATTTCATCTGTTGAGGACATTAAAAACAACATGCAGAGATAGTTCTGTCCCTTTGGTACTGTTACTTTCTCACTGCACATTAGTATAGGATATCTGCTCCCAGTTTACCTTATTCTGTATAGCACAGCCTATCATGGCCCAGTTCCAATGCGCTGAACTATTACAGACATTAAATAATGTCATGAACATGATCACTGTAAGTGCATGAGAAAATGAGGTTGCAAGGGCACTAACTGCTATTTGAGGAAATCACCATAACAACACAACATATTTAATCCCCCCATCCTCCTCCTCGCACATACATGCTCATTATGAATACACAACACACTTTCATACATGCACAGAAACACATACGAAATGGCTATATGCAGCTCTAAGACAAAACCTTAAAATCTGTACTAAATAAAAACCATAGCCTCTGTTTGTTGTGTCTTAGTGTTTTGTATTATTGTCTGTATATTTTGTTGCACCTATGTCTGTATATACTTTCTAATTTGCTAATTTCTTCACCTTTGTAGTATGTCCTATTGCACTCATAAAGTACATTTATCTAAAATCTACATGTGACGGAAACAATCCCCATGTTCAGCCTTGGTAATAAAAAGCTAGACGAGGTGCTTATGTGCATTTGAACTTGTTCTTCCCAGCAATTTATTTGTGATTTATAATTTCAGACTTAAACATTAGCACAGTATGATTTGCGGGTAAGAATCGCAGATTGACAGAAAATGTGTAGAAAGCACTTAAGCACCTGCCAATGTATAATTTAACTGAGCTCAGCTAGACACCGATGAAACTGGCGAATTAAAGTAAGCAACCCCTTCATTCTATGTTGTATGGTATTGTGTTGGGTGGAGGATCAGAGGATCAGTCATTTTCTATACTGCCATAGTCTGAATAGGAAAAGAATATAAAATTCTGTTAGTTATACATGCTATTTTAGTGCCATAGCTTAACAGCTGAGTGCACTATTTAAAGTTATATGACCAAATTAGAGCGGTAAAATGCACTACATCCACTCGTTACACATTGTAGTAGGAGGAAGTCACACAAAATACACAGAATATATTGCCATGAATGGGCTGCATTTGAGCTTAACAGCATGCCAAGGACATATCTCTCATGAGCTGCCAAAGTTACACAGCTAGCAGCAGCTTTAGCTACCTACTGAGAGAGGACGCCTGTTAGACACTAAACCCAGACAAATAAACAACCTGAATATGGCAAATGGAATCACAAGCTGTACAAACCCTATTGCAGTTGAAAAGGCACAGGCTAAATAATAATAATAATTTCACTTATATAGGACCTTTCAAAACCAAGTTACAAAGTGCTTTACAATAAAAAAAGTCAAAAAGATGCAAAACATAAGATATAACATAAGATTAAATAAATGATATAGTAGTTTAGATAGAAAAGGCCATGAGATAGAAGGATAAGTGAGCTAAAAGGACATTGTAACTGGACCTTCACCGTAAATGGCAGGAATACAGCCAATAAATGGTTGCGGATAGAAGTAATAGCTTTTAAATTACTCTTTAATTCAGTATTGCAAAATGTCTTTCAAGTCCCTGTTGTTGTTGAAGCTGTTCTGTGTTGTGTTCTGTCACCAGATCAAGTTGGCATTCTTTGTAGCCATTGTTGGCGTAGTCCTGACAGTCCTTGGGGTGGGGACAGAGTTCTGGGTGGAGCTGGCACCTTCGAAGAGTTTCTATAACAACCAGGTGAAACACTGGAATATGCAATTACTGTACATTGTTGTTCATAACTTACTTCATATGTTATTTCCACAGACAAATTCAGATATTATTAACTTGTCCATGGATGTTTTTTGCAGTACATAAAACATAAACAGTAATTTCTGGTTAGAAATAAACCGCTGTTTGATGTCTAAAGCAAAACCCTGTGATGGATGGAAAAAGAATATTACTGCTGGTCTTGTCTCTGACAGCCCTCTTTGATCTTCATTTTGCAGACCTGTCTGACGGCTCACTACGGCCTGTGGAAGGGCTGCACCAAGACCCTGTGGGTGGCTGATATCGACCCAGAGAGAGAGAGCTGCGGACCCGCTGAACTACCCGGAGGTGACTCAAAGATTTACCGACTGGTTGGGTGGATGGCTGTCTAACTTTGATGATGTTTGACTGGTCTGTGTGAGGGAGGGAGTTTCTTAAGATGATGATTGACGGACCAGCTGGCTGACTGGATGTTTGTCAAAGCTTGTTGGACAGCTCAGTTTGAGGGAGAGAGTTAGCATGAATGAGTGGTCTACCTGACTTTCTGGCTAGACAAATGATGCTTGGCTCACGGATTGATGGCTGGCTGGATGAATGCTTCAGCTGACTAACGGCCTGAGTCATTGTTATATAGTCTGAGTCAAAGAGTAAGTACACAAGCTGCTTTTGGGTCAAGTGAGGGGACACATCATTTGGATTTTGGAAGTCCTCATTTAAAGTCCCACGAGGACAGAAACCACCCATGCAAGGGAGAACTTGCTTAAATACATACTTTACTAAACAACAGGTACCTAAACGACTGAATAGGTTGATTGAGAATGACTCCCAAAATAACATATATTTTCATCCAACATTGGCTTGTTCTCGAGACTCATTGTCCTGCAGCACTGCTAGTTGGTTGTCCGGCGTGTTGTTTACGTATTCTACTGGGGAAGCATTAGCATTAGCTTCAGGAGCGTTGGTCTCTGACTCCGACTTATTGCTTCCTTGGAGTTTTTTCTGCATTTTTCCAGAGCAGGTGAAGGATTATCCAAAGGCTGGGGATTTATTTATGTAACTTAAAAAGATCAATATGGCAAAGTAATCAATTCAATGTGCAGGGAGCTCAACAAAACTCTGTCTTTACATGGCGCTGCCTTAACTGGAAGTTAACATAAACAATGTATATGACCGTTGGAGAATACCAGCGACAGGCATCTTTTGGCATGTCATGGGCCAAATAAATATATACAAGAATAGTATAGAAAAATATATTTATATATTAATGAACAACTAAATAAAGTAAATAATTTAAAGAAACTGTGTGATGTGGCATTAAGATTGTTAGTATGGGAAATTAATCAAAGTATAGAGCATTTTCATTACACCATCTTTTCCAGTTAGAGGTTGTTAAAGTCTAGCTAAATAAAGTTTTACAAGTTTCTTATTACTGATGCAAGAATAACGGAAATAATGTAGGACTGTGGGGTGAAATTGAGTACGGCCGTCTAACAGTGGACTAGTCGAGTGTGGCAAAAGATTATAAAAGCTATTTGCAGTATCGCTCCCTTTTTCCATGACTCACCTGTATGAACTCCCCTTTTGAAGAATGACTCACATAAAAAGCAAAACAGAGACAGACTGAGAAAAGTCCACCAGGAGCTCTGTGTGTGTTCGTCATCGGTGTCAGACAGCATACCTGTTTGATTTTCATCAAAAGGAAGACAGATAGTTACACAGAACTACTGGCTTAGTGGTTAATGGGGTTGCAGTGTACCTCGGGACTTTTTGAGACATGCAGGAGATATTACATTTCTGTGTTGCTATGATTTTACACCATTTTGCCTACACAATGGCCTACATTTGATGGATTTTGTTTGCATGGTTGGATTAGAGCTTCTCCTCAAAAGTAAAGTATCACTGTGTTTATATGAGCATACATTAGCTTCATTTAAGCTCGTAATAAATTGGAACTACAGAAACTTTGAATATTTTATTTTATTTATCCAGCAAATACAGAATAATAGGTGGTTTCTCTTTTTGGTGCAAACATGCAGTATTGGTAATTTCAAACTACATACTCCTAATTTATAAACACTGTGGACCCAAAGTCAGATGTCACTAAAATGTATATTAATATTAACCCACTGGGTATCTTTGCTACACCGTCATTTCATAAATAAAAAGTTAAAAACAGTCAGGAAACATGAGATATACAAAGGCGTCTCTTCTTACCTGATTAAAGTATAGAATGACATCATCTACATGTAGTCACTGGACATTCATACACAGCGTGGTGGTAACTGGTGACATTGGTGTGAACTGAACCTACATTGTTGTCTCAAGTGACCCATCCTCAGACTATTCATGTTATTTGAGCCAGACACCCATGCTGGAACAACATGAACCATGTCTTCCTTAATGGATTAAGGTGTTCACATGTTCTGTAGTCAGTGAGAGGAAAGTCCAATTACTGTCTGCTTGGCTGGTTGCAGAGCCAGGTGGCAGGTCAACCTTTATTTGTGATGGGATTTGAATTTTGTCAATGGGATTTGAGTGCAGCTCTTTACTGTCTTAGTGGGAAAAAAACACAACCCAGAACCCTTTGAGGATATGGCTTTGATCACACTAATTAAGAGTGATGCATGTGCGTGTTTTGCTTGCATGTGTGCACAAAATGTGCGAGGGAACAGATAGAGGTGTCACATTCTATTTGATGGCCAAACTCTAATTACTGTAACACATCATCAGGACGGAGGAATGCTAATTGTGCAGGAAGCATTGGATTGTCACCTTGAGCTTGTCATTGACGTTCACGGCTGATTATGTTTGATGGGGAATTATTTAAAGTGTGCAGGGCTGAGAAAAACGTGGCTCCATGAATTTCAATAAGATGTTCATCAAGATTGTCTGCAACCACAGCAGATTACCTGTCAGTGTTTGTGTTTCTCTCATTTACAGTAGCTGTTTCTCTTCCTCTTTTTTGCTCCTGCAGAATCAAATTGCACCTACTTCAAGTTTTTCACCACGGGGGAAAATGCTGTGCTGTTTCAGAAGACAACAAGGAAGAGTGAGTCACACACCTCTTTCGGCTCTCCTGGCCTCTCTCAACCGCTGTCCCACCTTTTCCGCCCACTCTCTCCTCTCTTTATCCCTTTTATTCTTCTCCACCTCTCCCTCTCGCTGCCTCCCTCTCTCCCCTGTGCCCTCTTTGCCCTTTCATCTTTCTCTTCTTACGCTTTCTCTTTTCTTCAGTCCTCTGTCTGTCATCTGCCCCTACGATCCATCCCTCTCTCTCTCTCTCTCTCTCTCTCTCTCTCTCCATCCTTTCCTTTTCTCCATGTCTCCTCTCACCTCCTCACCGCGCTCTTTCAGGTTGGCCATTGTCTGCTCTGTGAGTGTTTGAAATCTATTCCGCCTACGCTGCGTTCAAGTGTCTCCGAGCTGCCGTCTAACCTCTCATTTCACTGGCAGCTCCATAATGTATTAAGATCACACAGTGCCATAAGCTGAGTTAAGAGAGACAGACGTACATTAAAATCTCATTGTTCACTGGTGCCCCATCACTGTCACGCTACAGGCCTCAATGTAGTGATTTAATAAATGCAGCTATGAGTTTGTAATATGCTGTACTAGCATTACTTGTTGTGATTTGAGATCACCAAAGTCTTCATGTAAATCTTCTTTTACGATCAAAATACTTATTAAAGTTCGGGTAGCTCTTGGCTTAGTTTTCAGGAAATTTCTTGAGGATGACTTTCTCAAAAACCTGACCAAACACAAAAAAACAATGTCACATGATCAATTATAAGCAGATTTTATGAGCCTAAACTCTGAGCGTATAAATGTGCATGTAATGTTTTCTTTTATACTTCTAGACTTTAGATTTAATCTTTCTGGGTCCAGTTCCATTCCAGAGTCAGATCAAGTAGTCAGCTTTTTGATGACCACGGTCAAACAAGCTGATTGCTGAGAGTTGGGAGGGTATCATACCTGCAATTTGGACACTTTCAGACTGAAACACTGTCTGAGAAATGGGAAAGGGAAATGAGAAGATGAAATACAATCCATAAAGCCCAGTTTAAGTAGATCTGATTGGATATCCAAGAGGTTGCAGGCTTATTAGAAGCCAAAAAAATTCCCAGTGCTTTGACGACTACTTTACTAATAAACTCTTAATCTCTATTAACATATCTTTCTTTTCTGGTCCTACAAAGTAATGAAAGGAACGTGCACTTACACATATTTGATTGGCCAATGCAATGTGTTGACAGTTGATGTTGAATTGAGTTACAGGAAAACCTGAGGATGCAACTTAAGTGGATTTTTTGAGAAATGTCAGGCTTTCTAAAAACCTTTAGATACAATAGTATCTATACTATCTGTATAATACCTAATGATCTGTGTTATCAGCCCAATCTCACAACAAAACGTAACGTAATAGACCTGCTGATCCATTAGAGGATCCTGTGTCAGTGTCACGCTTTGCCTCGCCTACACGTGAAAAGTACACCAAAATGCGACCTCAGCAAGTTTTATTTTGAAAGTGTAACTGGATGTTACATATTTATTATTGGTAACTTGACTGCAGAATGAGAACGTGTTGAAAACGTGACATTGCCACGCCTAGGTGCTGCAAAATGTGTCACTGTCACATTGGACCGGTATGTGTATTCCAGGCTTGGGTGTGGTAACTTGTTGCCCTGTTAAATATGAAAATCTATCAAATGTACCTCAAATCCCTTTGATTTCCCCGATAAGTCCAGTTCCAAAATCAACAGGTGCTCTTATTATAGTGAATATTAGAGTGTATGTAAACAGCACTGTTCTCCTTCCTCGTGCAGATCTGAATGTGGTGGCAGCCATGTTGGCCCTGTTCAGCCTGTTCCTGATGGTGATGGGTGCCATTTGCATCACCATGTCTCTCAGTAAAGAGATCATATTCTTCCTCAAGCCAGCGTCCGTCTGCTTTATTCTGTCAGGTCAGTATAGGCAACAACACACTGGGGAACTTTTGGATCAAACAGGGTTTTAGTGTATGAGTGTATGAGATCTTTCTTGATTAAGTAGAAGTTGCTAGAGACCAACAATCTGCTGTGTCTTCCACAGGTGTCATGGTGCTTCTCTCCCTGATGGTTTTCCACCAGTCCGTCCTGGCCTTCTTAGCCAGCGACCACACGATTCCTCTCCACCACGAGCTCTCCTGGTCAGTGTCGTGCATCGGCTGTGCAGGGGCCGTCCTCATCGTGGGTGGGATCCTCTTCCTGCTGCTGGCGCTGCCTTACAGCCCCTGGCGGAGGTGTCTCCCTCAGAAGGACGGCAGCAGTTAGTGGGCCAGAGGTGGTGTTGCACTTTATCTGCCCTTTCTGTTTGTGAGGAGGGAGGGTGCAGAGGGGCGTGGATGTTTCCCAAAGACGTCTTAGCAAAGAGATTGCTTTTTCTGTGAACTTATAAGAATCATTAAGCATGTTTATGGGGCGTTTCCCATGCACAGAATACTTATCTTTTCATCACAATATTCTTGTTTGGTATGAAATATCTTCACCCTTTTTTTTTTATCTTTGTTTCCCCGCGAGTAATTCTCTATCCCTGACTATTGATAAGAACACTTTGATTTATGACCCCATAATCTGACAGAATATTGTTGAGGTGTTAACAGCTACAATGCCACGGTGCAGAGAAATATCCCTTTTAGTCTTATCAAATATGGTTATCTTAATGCTCAGATGTGTTTGGGAAACAGTCCTGTATTGTCTTACTAATCATGCTGCAGGGTGTGGAGGAAATGTACTGTTAGTTCATTCAATAAAGGAAAAGTATTTTTCTAAAAACAGGTTAGCCCTTCAACTCCTTTGATATAAACTCATTGTTAAACAATACTTGACAAAAACAGTTTTAAAGGTCCAGTGTGTAACATTTAGGAGCTAGAAATGCACTATAATATTCATTGGTATGCTGTTTGCTTTTGATGTTTCTACAGTAGCACAGAACAGACAAACAAATACTGGTTGTAGATTAGTGGCCACTGTAGTTTCTCCTACACACTTCACAGACCGTGTTCATTCCCAGGTCGTCAAATACAGACGCCAGCAGTGCTCGTTAGTGGCAATCTGCAATTTCACCGCTAGATGGCACTAAATCCTACACACTGGTCCTTTAAAGAGTGTAGCAGATTTAAGTCAACGTTTGTTAAGCTAGCTAAAATGTTTGTAGTTGGTTAACCTGAACTGTACCAAAATTTTAACATATTGGCTCTTTAATTTACTCACTCTAACCTTATGGACTACTCCTTAAAATGTAAACTATCTACTAATTAACCTTTATTTCAGTTAAAAAAAAAAAGGCCTAGAGGACTGGATGTACAGAAAATATATGCTAGCTTTACTTTTTTACTTTACTATGTTAACTTTACAACAAAATTAACTTAAATACTGTAGTTGTGCCCAAAACACTGATCATTTACTGCGTCTTTGATTACTTCCATCTGTTGGATCACAGCCCTGCTCAGGTAACAAGATGACCATCAACATCCCCAAAAACAAAAATGACACTGAATGAACGGGACGGTTTATTGACCTCCAATCTGATAACCTCGTTCAAGAAACTCATTTTTTCTCAGTGATGTGTGAAAAAAGCAATATTATGTTTGTCCTAAAATGCCTTCCTGTCTGCAGAGCTGTCTTTCTATGGTATACGCTGGATGTTTTGTTGTCTTGTTATTCATCAATTGCCACTAAGATTTAGATATCAATGGCTTATATAATTTATTAGAAACACATTTATTACATAGTCATTTGACAGGGCTCTAATTTTGTAAAGGTACAAACACACACTATATATTATTATCTATGTCAGGTCATAAGCGCAATGATGAACACAACTTATTAGTATCATATTTGGATGTCACATGCATCATATTGCAGACATACAGTACTTTATAATAAGAGTATATATGACATATTTTAAATCAAGTGTAAGGTAGGTGCTACACTTTAGAAATAGCTTGACAATCACATACAACTAGAAAATATTGTAAAGATTTAGAGTGGAGTAGGGTGTACTTTTGATGTAAGTTTTACATCAGCTAAAAGTTTGAGATGCTTCCATGTTTTTACCTTCAGTGTTTTTCTCATGTTAGAACAAAGTGCTTTTCTGTGCCTGAATGGAAGGTGAACCGTCTCTGCAACTTCTTTGAACTGAATCGATTGAGTATGAATGACTTCATTTTATTATTAAACATGACATGAATATTTAATGTCATCCTCTCTCAGGTTTCATTTCTCTCTCTTATTCTACACTCTCAACACGTTCTCAGCTCACAGTCGCTGCATCCTCAAAAGCTGTTTTTATGAACCTTTAACACCTTGTCATAAAACTGACCCCACAATCTCGTTATCCCAGCAGTCCAAAGCTCCTGTGTTAGAAGTGTAAACACCAACACTCCCCCAGTGTGCTGATGAGCTCCCAGGCTGGCCAACTGAGCTAACTAGGTAAAGGCAGCTAAGTTATGACGCGTTCACATTGGAATCGGAGCTAGGTTTCCACACGATTAGATTCTAGATGTGAATTCTGCAACACGAATAGGGCAAATGTGAAATTGCAATGATTCTGCTCTGAACTCTGAACTTTATTTTTGAAACATTTGGATTAAAAAATTGGACTACTACAAATTTTTGGCCACTACTGCTTTTGCTTTGCTTTTTGGAGCAAGAGTCATGTAAACCAGAAAATTTTTTTCTATAGAATATGATTCAGTTTCACCAAAATCAGTGGCATAGTTGTCATGCATGACTTTCTGCTGTAAAGCGTTATGCACTTCTCTGTACTTGGACACCAGAGCAAAGGTGTTTGGGACTCAGAGTGGGAATGACAGAGGGACCATTCTCCCTATTATGATAGTATAGCTGTTATTATAAGGTAGAATACAGGTACAATAGTTATATAATGTTGCTTTAAAGATTATGTGGTGGTAGTTTGTGTACGTATGTGCAGCACAGTGGTTGCTTTGGGGGCTGAATTTAAATGGAGTGGAAATGAATGCCAACTGGTTCAGACTGGCACCCTGCCGGTCGGGTTTTGGAGGGAACCCAATGTTTTCCTTTGTAATAAGGCAGAGTTAATCCTAACAGGCTACACCAAAGGTGCAACAGTAGATCATTTACTGTCATGATTTGGACCAAAGAAAACAAACCGGGTGTGAACACAGTCTTTGTCAAATACCAATCTTGTGGATCACAGTCAATATATAGCCCAAACAGCCCAACACTACAGTCACTGCTTTTTATTTGATTTTTAGGCTTAGATTTATTATATATTTTAACAAAGTTGATAAATTACCAATTTAAACCCAAACTATAATATAATATATATAATATATAACGGTCATTTTTTGTTGTTGTGGACATTAGCTTTGAGCCATTTCCCCCTTTTATAAGACAGTCCACTGTGAACAGCAGCAGGATAGGAGATGAGGGAAAGAGGGCTAGACATACAACAACAACAAAGGTCCTAGCTAAATTTGAACTCAGGATGTTGCAGTTGCATGTTCCATGCTGTTATATGATACAGTACATACTTAGACTTCCAGAACACCAGCATGGCCCTTTCACCTTCTTCTTTATATGAGCCATGAACGCTCAAGTTATAATTCTGATATTTCCGACAGCATCTGAAGTCAGCATAAAGAGTAGATTCCAGACGTGGCAATATTATCACGTTACATGTAGAGTTGAATCCTCTTGCATTACTTGTGACAGGTCAATTGTTTTTTATGGTCTTTTGGCATGGTTGTATGACCCTGAAGTTCACCAAGGTAAATAGAGTTACAAATGGTGAAAATAGTGTTTGATTTGCTCTGACTCATGGTTTTCAACCCCCTCTCCCCCCATTAACGTTAGCACCGGTTCAGTTCTTGTTATCCTGCTCACAGCACATCTCAGTCACCACGCTGACCTCCTTCCAGGCTCACGTCTCTCTGAAGCGTCTCCCATGCTGTTTGGCTACGACCTCCTCTCTAAATATAGACCGTGGCCAATAGGGCCGACGTGGCAGGAGAACGCAAACCTGGAGACAAGCTGTGCACATAAACACACTCTCAATTTCACTTGTTCAAATACACGTGTGCACTTATACATTTGTACACACACACACAGTGTCTCTGCCCTGTGTGCGCAGGAAAGCACTAATATGATCATACACACTTAAGCGTTCACAGCGTGAGCACAGTCTGATTTAAACCGAGCCCCTGACGTCATACATTCCCAACGTCATCCAATACACTTTACTGCACCGCAGAGAATCAAATGATCCTCCACAAATTAATTTGAGTCATGAAGTGAAGTGAGCACAGATCTGAAGTTGTTAAAGCTACAACTTTTCTATTTGAGTCAGCAAAGTGTGCTACAAACCCTGCCCCTCCTCCTTCCCCCTGTGTTTATCCCCTGATTGGATACGTGGGTGCAAATTCATTAGGTATTACGATGCTTAAAGGTTCACTGTATAACATTAAGGAGGATTTACTGGCACAAATGGAATATAATACGCATAACTATTTTTTTAATTAGTGTATAATCACCTGAATATAGGAAGCATTGTTTTTAACTTAGAATGAGTCCTTTATATCTATAGATGTCACAGGTCACCTTCCATGGAGTCAGCCATGTTGAGCTGCCATGTCTTTTACAGTAGCGTAGAACGGAAAAACCAAACACTGACTGTAGGGCCTTTCGTGGCCACCATAGTTTTTCCTACACACTTCACAGCCTATTTTCATTCCCAGGACGCCAGTAGTTTTCAGTTACTTGAAAACTTCACCGCTACATGCCACTAAATCCTACAGACTGATCCTTTTACTAACTATTACGATTCAATATCACTATGTATTGCAATTTCTGTTTGCTTTTTTAAGATTAGACCATGGGGAAAAGCTGTATCCCACACTTCTAGAGACTATATAATTCCAAAAAGAATGCACATCACGTCAGTCAGTCTTAGCATAGGAACTATATGTCAGTCTGTAAGTATGTTTATGTTTTTTAAGATAATATTGCAATCACAATGATCACGATTTCTTTTAGCACGTGATAATTTCCCCCACCCACTTCTAACACACTGCTTACTTGCTAAGTAGAAAACCTAGCAAACCGGCTAATCGGTCTGTCCGTAATTAATCCATCACTGCATCTGCCATTTTAACTGAAGTGAAGTGGATTGTCACAGCTCAAAGAAATATTCTGAAACAGATGTAGACCCTATCACAAACCTCCTTCCACTTGTAATGTCTTGTAATTTATGGATTGATCCACCTGTATTTTCACGGATGGTTTGGATGGTGGAGGATAGACTCTCAGAGTCTCATGTTGCTTGTACACTTTACATATCAAGGTGCTGAGTGCCAGACCCCTACTATGCCGCACCCCCAAAAGTCATTCACTCTCAACGTCATCCAATACACCAGAAAGAAAATACACTCCTCCAAGAGTGTACTTGACGAAAACTGATATTAAGTCCTTAAATATTTGCAGCTTTATTGGCTTTAACCCAGAACAGAAGTATGTGGGAGAAGTTAGTTGGACATTCCTAACTGGTCTCTCTACAGTTAACACACACTCAGACAGAGATTTAAAGTGTCCAACTCAAACAGAGCGGTGTCCAGCTCTTACACACTACATGTCTGCAGTATCATAGAGACATCAACTTAAGATCTCCTGAATGACACACACATCTAGACAACTGTCATACAAATGCTGATGCAAAATAAGCTAAAAAAAATGGACAAGTACAGCTTTATTCAGTCAGTAAGTGAATATCAGATGTCTTTACTAATGCACACTCACAGACAAATCTGTAGTAATTGTAGTATTAACCATAAAGTTAAATGATTAACATTAGGGAACCACCAATCTGTCACTAACTTGCAGGTAAGTCCCCACGATGAAGAGATTTACACAAGAAAAACAATTCTGTATCGCTAAAACATTTACAAACATCTTCCTGTGCAAATTTGGTGATTTCAAATTTTGGAGAACAACTGAAGGTATTAAATGTTCCTTTATAGGTTTAATAAATGATGCTGCTTTTACAGCAAATTCAAGCATTTACAAAATTCGAAAATGCATTGTCACAAAGGTTTTATTTTCACAGGACAATAACATAATTCACAACCTATTCAAACAAACAGACATTTCTGGCCTTCAAATTACTGAAAGAAATATTTAGACAACATGTAATCTAGAACATTTCAGTCTGCTAAACCTATAACCAAGTAGTTTTGATTATAAACCTAAACAAACTGTGACTGTTTCTATCTAGCCTGGTGTGTCTCATCCAGAGACCAAAGGGTGCCATGTGTGACTATATGAGAAGCAAAGGGGGCGTGACAAAGCGTCTGTATTGGATAACCTTGGATGAGAGTGGGTTGAACATTTCCTAAAAAGCATAACCGAAGGAAGTATTACATAAAAGTGGAATATGATCTACACTGATTGAAACCAGTAAGAATGTAAGAATTGCTGGTTAGAATAGTTTAGACTCCAATGCAAATAGGTTTTCATTTGAATATTTCCACAACCAAAACTCTGATCTGCCTCAACACATGTCTCCTGGCCTGTCTAAAAACACACACTACAGTAACATGAACTGCTGTCTCCAAACACCTGACTCTCTGCTACCATTCCCCATCCCCCTCCCACAGCCACTACCACACTGCATATACAGCTAAACCTTTTACCACAGCTAAATGCTGCTGATTCAGTCAGTGACAATGGTGATTCAGTCAAGGTTTGGTGTTACAAATTTGCCCTCATTAACAAGTGTTGGCTGAAATATAACACCTTCTACATATACTATATATTTGTATTGACATATTTGAACTTGATCTTTAGAGAAAAAGAGAATTAAAGTAAGAATACATAGATTGTGTATAAACTCAGTAAGTATTATCAAAATGATCCCAGTGTGTATGTTTGTCATTTATCAAATGTCAGATATCCAGCAGTAAGTGTTTTGCTTTTAAACTTTAAATACATCCAATATCTGATTTCGCCTTTGTCAAGACATTGTGCCATATTGTGAATGCATCTAGGATTCCTTTTACCTTGATTGATTCCGGTGTGACATTTTTATCAGATTCCCCAGAATGAATATCATTTAAATGCGATTGTGTTTTTTTTTATCAAATTGTTCAGTGTTTTTAATTCAAACAAAATCGCTACAATAAACAAATGAATACTTTACATTTATTTGAATTTATAAGATGACATTTGCCAGTTAAATGTTGTATCCTACTAGAAATACCTGTAATCTGCAGTTTCAAATGTTGGTGTTTGCCTAATCCTAATGTGCACATACGTGAGTGAATGTCACAACTGACATTACAAAAATACAGAGTATGAACCATGTCTATATGGAGTTCAATGTGTGTTTGAGGAGAGACAGTATTACTCAGAGAGCCTAGGTTTCCTGTCTTGGGATCTCCCTCTCTGGGAATGAAGAAGGATTTGAGAAGTGGAGGAAATGAGAATGTAATCTTGACTGACAGACCTCCCCACCGGCATATGGACGTCTGTCAGCGAGCCTGGAGCCGTTATCAGTGACTGCAGGCATGTTCTCTTCACCACCAAAGAGCCCTGGAAGGAGAGACAGCTGGACAGCGAGCATCAGACTGAATGAAGAGAGGAAATTAAAATGCAGAATGTCTTCACAGGTGGCAGACTCCTGTTGACTCATGAAAGCTGACACAAGGCGGTAGCTATTATCGTATCGTGCTGTATGTACGACAACTGTGCTGCTGGCTTCAGACATAATAATACAGGAGAGCCAGGTGCGCCATGGGAGAACTCCAGTGTAGACACTGCCCTGTTGTGAAGGGTTACTGTATAATGGGCTTTTATTAAATGCTAGACATTGACCACACATTGGTGATATGATGGTGGTTCCTACCTGACAACACAGACAGAAAAACTGTCTGTTTTAGGGAAACATACAATTACGTGTTCTTTTTTCCCACATATCCACTAATGCATTCTGTGTCCGGGTTGCAGGCAATGGATTATGAGAACTCCAAGATGGTGCCCATTAATCCATCAAAAGTAGCTCACCCAAGCATTAGCTACACTAAAGAAACAGTACCACAGTAAGACTGTAAGCCATATGACATATCTAGCTGTCTTAGATCTAACACCTAGAACCATTCACACATAAACCACAGGCAAATTTGAGTTCACTTAACTTGCATTGCTTTGGACTGTGGATGGAAAACTTGCAAATTCCCCTCAGAAACATAAGATTCATAACCTGTAACATTCTTGCTGTGAGATGACAGTAACCACTGAGCCTCAGTGGTTTACTGTAATGTTTTATTCTTCACTCATTCTTTAATCTAATGGTACGGTTGCACCTATGCAAATCCAGGCAAGTAGTGATCGCCTGCAGAAGCAATGCGTGGGCAGTGCACTTTGCTGGGTTGTAGACTGATTTTGGGGTCAACCACACAAATAATATGTTTCTATCTGTTATTTTACATTAGGTACTATTCATTTAAATCAAAAATGTATATTTTTAATGGTATATTTGAGTATAACAAATGCATTGCCAACCAGCTGCTTTCAACTGTCCGTCACTGCGTCACACTCTGACCCTTCCCCCGGCTTTTGGTTTTGGTCTGCCACCCCAAGATCTATTAAAAGTTTCTGGGGGCGTCACTGCACACATGTGCACACATTCTCATATTTTTAATGAGAGCACATCTAATGGTCAGCAACCCTGCCTGTAACCCTAACCATGTTACCAAAAGTTCAGCTTAACCTCAGCCACTTTAATCTCTCTTATAATTACCTTGAAGGGAACCCTCCATCTTAGATCAATGGACCTTTGACTCTGTATCTAAACTGCTGAGTCAAGAAAAGAGCAAGAGTTACAAATACAGATTCAATTTCCACGTCCCTTATTCTGCCTTTCAAAATAGCTTTCCCAATCAAAAACCAGTGATGTTCTATCCATTGCTGATGATCAACACATTGATGACATGAAGTTTACTGGGAACTGCAGTTACGTGTATCTAAACCACCAAGCAAGGCTCAAAATACTCAGTTTCTTCAAGGCTGACTATCAGGGTTCAGTCGTGGAATAGAGTGCAGAAGAAGCAGGTTTTCTTCACAAAATGACTGAGTTACAGTGAACCCACAGGCTCCTAATGGCTTTAGTTACAAAGACATGGTATGGATGCAGAAATACAGGGACATGTCTTCACTTTATAGAAGCTGTCAGTGCGGAGCTGCTGTGTCTGTTCCTGCTGCACAAAGACGTGAAGGCGGCACTGTAGCGTCAGGAGGATTTCAGACAGAGAGGCCAACTAATTAAAACTTTGACACCAAATCACATTCTTCGCTGCTTCAACCAAACACATCTCAGTCTCCAGTGTGCTCTGCCAGCAGATCTATTGTCAGTGGGATTAAAAACTGTCACATTTCCCCATGGCTGACAGTCCCTCCCTGTGTTTTTCTCCAGAGAAGACATCTCAGCATTATTAAGAGACCGCACCGTCTTAATTACTGCCTGTCATCGTCTGTACTGTTTCCCTTTTTAGGTCAAATAATTTTTTTTTTTTTTACGGTATTATTTCTATCTATCTATCTATCTATCTATCTATCTATCTATCTATCTATCTATCTATCTATCTATCTATCTATCTATCTGTTTATCTGACAAGCAACGTCTTGTATTTATGTGAATAATAACTGTTGTCTGTCAGTAGCAAAGGTAGGAGTAGTGTGACATAGTTATACCAAAGCAACACCTGCCACATCATGTAGCATTGCATCTGACACCCATAGCACACACCAAAAGCACAGAAGGAATTCATCAAGGTACTGCAGTCTGGATGTAGTAAATGTAATACATTTGGAGCTTTTATGGGAGCTTGGAGTTTCCTGATGGATTCGGCCAAATCACATTACATGTTTGAAATAAATTCAGTTACTGGGGACAGAGCTAATCAGCTTTATGCCAAAATATTGACCCTCTGAATAGCCACAACCTCCACTGGGACATGCAGGCTCTGATGCATGAATGAATTTCTATATCTGTTATATTGTTATAAAGCCGCCTTGTTGCTTCTAAATACATAAAATGTTAATATAATGATAACATTTATATATAAATTGTTTCCTTATACAGTTAACCGACCCCAGGGAGATCGGTACAATATCATACACTGTTCTATGCATCCTGAAGAAAACTGAGACTATACAAAAACACTATTAAAAACTGCAGATGTCTGCTGGTTGCATCTGGCAATTGTGGTGGCATTGCAGTAGGTGTTTTACCATCTGCTGTCTGGCAGAGACATGCACTCTACTGTGTGCACTCTTTTTTTAAAACATGATTTTTCTCTAATCTTGAACGAGTAGCTTTAGGTGGCTTAACTTAATGAAACCTTAACCATATGTGGCAGATCAGAAAACACTCATTTGAATCATTCTTGTAATGATCATATCGGTCGGTTTGGGAGACACTGAAACCTGGGAATTGTTGGTGAATAAATACAATAATTAAGTAAAAGTAGAAGTATCTAATGATGTTGTTTTCACTCAATAATTCACATGACACGACAACATTTTCATATAGAACTTTATTGAATATAACTATATATTTATATATGTATATATATGTATATATACCTTATATTTTTTGTCTTTTCCAGTGAGGATCGGTATATTGTATTGCTTCCCCTTTTCCTTATTGTTCTTTACATGTATCGGTCTGCTGAGTGGAAATATACCAGTTTTCCATTTGAAGAGTTTCAGGTTTGACTCGTGTCAGTAGCCTTAGTGTTGGGAAAAGGAGCTGGTGACTTACGATGCCTTCAAAATGGCTTTCACATCAGGATATGAATAGAAAATGAAGGAACAGAACGCCCACTTTTGACCAAGTTCTCACAAACACTTTACAAAAAATGTTTAGGATTTGTGTTGGTGTTCAATTAGTGATTTTGTAACAATTCACATATTTCTCAGAAGCATGAGGCTGATGTATTTTGTTGCACTTGTTGTTTACCATGTAAAAACCACTGACAACACCAACACAGAAGACATTAAGCCCATTATCCCAGCACTTAGGCTACTCACAATATGCCACAGGCAGGCGTGAAGCCTTAATAGCCCAAAGTTACAGGTGTAGGAACTCTGAAACAATATAACATTAAGAATATCTATACATACCACCACGAAAATAAATAGATTAATATAAATTCTATCGCCTACAGTTATACACTAGTCAGAACATTAAAAAACACTGATTATTAGGCTACGTTGGTAATGTTTATAAAGTAAAAAAAATCAATTGTCTGCACGGAAAAAGACCAAATGATGATGGAACAGCAACAGTGGAGGAATATTAAAAAGTCAGACTAGTCAAAACTAGGAAAAAAGACAAAGTAAATTGCAATTACGAATACAAGTAATAACACTAAAGAAAAAGAAAAACATTTTAAAAATCATAAAATTAAAGAAAAAAGTACAAAAGTAGTAAGGTAATAATTACATGGAAATATAAAAGAAAAACTGCATGTGCAACAATAACATTTACAGTAAAAATAAAAGAATGGGATATTTGAAAGAAATAATGGACTAGAAGTCTTTAGACTGGGTGGAACAACCAAGATGGAGGAAATGAAATAACATTTTTGCTTTCTTTAGCAACTATCATTGTGTCCTTAAGGAAGGCACGTGGCCCCCAAGTGTTCCAGGGAAGCTGCTCAGTAACCAGCCGCAGACTGGTCTTACTGGGCAAGTGCCAGTGTGAATGTGAGAGTTAAGATGAAGCAGGGTGTTACTGAAAAAGAGCATGCACGCTCAGTCAACTCTCCCTGTATAAATAAAATGAGTGAAATAATGAAAATGATCCAAAGATGAATTTACACATTATCACCCTCTCACGTTTGTGCACATGCTTTCCACGTGACACCACTGACTTTAGTGTACATAAGCAAGAGAAAGAAAATTCCTTGTCCCTTGAAAGGAATATAAAAAAATTACAAAAAGAAAAGATTTCAAAATGTATAAATACCCTGCAATAACCATTACGATCATAGAAACACCAGCAACATGATATTAATACTCAAGGAGTTACAATCTCATGTAACCTAGAGATGATCAATCACTCAGAATGAAAAGACAACCCAAAGATTACCATTTACAGACATTATGTGCTTTTCTTGAAGTGAATGGACCGATAATATACTCAATAATACATTTATTATTCTAGTTTGTGAAATATTATATAGTTATAGCTAAAAGAGAGACGGAGGGAAGGGGGACTGAAGCTAGCTGTTGTGCTCTTTTCTCTTCCCCCCTCCTCCAACTTGTCGTCAACCAGGGTTGGCTTGGATTCATTTGCAAATGCAGCCGATCCAGAAATGCATTCAGACTTCAGTGTATCAGTCTAATAGTCAGATTTAGGAAATGTGAAAGGTTTCAGTCTAAAATTGTATGCAGTACATGCGTTTTGAAAATTTTCCTCACTTAAGTTTATCTCCAACGACATTTCAAAAACACCCTCAAAGATATACTGCGCTCAAAATCTGATTGGTTCTTTAGAAATTCCGTTAAGATTAATTGTTCAACGAACTTCTTTGATACCAAATAATGTGCTTCAATTTTGTGTTATAGAATAAGTGAGGATGGTTCATATCTTATATTGGAGTAACACATGATTTTAATTTTTTAGCTTTTGATCTAAGTTCTAACTAAAACACCACCCCCTGAGTGTAAACTGAATTGACCCCCACCCCTTTGCCTGTGGTTGCAGCCCTTTGCAGGAGCACTCAATGGATGCTGCCTTGTAGCCTTCGGTATCGAATTATCATCGTAAACAGTCATACAAAACCTGGGATCAATTTTGGCAATTAAACATCACATAGTGCATAAAGGTCCATCTTCACAAGTCCTTTTCATCGACTTTGAAGGTGCATTTAGCAACATTTCTAACATCTGATGACACAAAATGAGCATAATTTATGAGCAAGCTGTTTTAAGTGCTGATGATCAATACCAATAATTAAAGAATTACTTGGCCAGCTACTGACATTTCTGAATCATTTTTTCCTAGAAACCTCAACTATTGTCATTTTTACCTGCTTACAAATAGAGATGCAGTTTACGAGCTTCAAAATTATTTTTTGGGGTTGTGGCGATGGATGGATGGCCGTAGTATAATGTGGGAGACATTATAGAGTTTGCGTCAAACTTTGCAAACTGGCTATAAACCAATGACATTTTCCTTAAACAAGAAGCAGTCTACGTCCATTTAGCCACAATTCCGAAAATATTTCACACATTTGAACATCAACTCTAGAAATTTAAAGTCAGATGAAGTTACTTGGTCAGATGGACATTTGTTGCAGTGATTAACCAAATTGTGACAACTGGCAGTGGTGGAAAGGAGGCGTGAAGCTTTAAGTGTATGGCTATGCTGTTCTCTAGGACTGTGGAGAATGCCCATCTGTCACTGTAATTACCTTTGACACACAATGAAAAATAAATAGGCTCACAGTGTGTCAGCCTCTTCTTGTGCGTATGTGTGTGTGTGTTTGTGTGTGTGTCAGTAGGTTAGATATGGCTGAGGTCACTCTCTTAGGACCAGAGGTTAAGTAGCTACTGTTGACCATGAATTGACAGTCAACTCGTCACTGAGCAGCTTGTTACTTGGCTGAATGTACCCGTCTGTGGCTCTCTGTCCTTTTTAAAACAGAAATGTGAACAGAACTGTGGCTTACACCATCTGGTCACTTATTTATAATGTTTTTAAAGACCAGAAAGCATTGGTTTGGTGGTTTGCAGGTAAAAAGACGCCTCAAGTTCAAGTTCAAACTGGATGCCGAGATGTGTAAAAACTTTCACTTTTAAACCAGTTGAGTTTTAAGTGAAAGGTCTTGTGACTTACAAATCACAAAATCAAAGCTTAGTCGGTTCTTCTTGTTAAAGTTTCAGTTTAAATTCCCATAGCAGCTGACAAAATGTGGAAGGGGAGAGTAAATAACTACTGAGCTCCCCTCTCCCTCAGCAAGGCACTTAACCCCCAACTACTGCACCGGGAGGCTGGTTTAACTGGGAAGCTCCCAGTTGTATGTGTAGGATTCGGGTCAACAGTGTGAAATGGAGTGATGCTGAAATAAAAAGAAAAAAAATAATTGCTTGTGCTGAAGCCTCCACTGCACCATTGCTGTATAATCAACTTACAAACAAGGTTTTGAAGCTAAAGTCATGACCATTTTAAGGCAGTTGTCATGAATTTGCACATAATATCAGGTGTTTTATGACTGTTTATGATATTGGTAAGTAATTATGGCAGCTAGATACCCCAGGCTCAAGGACAGAAACATTACCATTGAAGTGTCACCAACACATTTTCAGCCCTACTCTTCCTCTCTTTCAACTCAGACATCTCTAACGTCTCTCTAAATTCAATTCGACCTGTCTTTTGTTTCAACACTCTCTCTTTATCATCTCTCGCTACTCTCTGAGGTTTAATTTTAAACTGGTGTAGTTTTCCTATTAAGTGTATCTGAGTTGCTATCCCTGTCCCTCTTGGCCGTCAGTCGGTCCAGGGTTCCCACATTGCCCCTATCCCTGTCCCTGTCCCTGTCCCTGTCTCGCTCCATGGTGGCTGTAGATATTGGAGCTGGCTGGGCTGGTGTGGTGGCTGATGTGGATGTATTCAGCGGTGCTGAATTCTGGGCTACAGCCGCTGCTGCTGCCAAGTTGGACTTGGAGTGAGATGGGAGTGTACCGCTGCTTATCACTGCTCCTCCTCCTCCGCCACTGCTGCTGGAATCTTTTGGGAAGTAGTTGTGCAGCTGGTACAGCGTGGCGCGGTCCACCGTGCCGTAGAGAGGTGGGGCACCGCCTCCCAGGCTGCCCAGCTTGGAGTCCCTTGATAGGGTGTACATGGAGATGTCGCCGCCTCCTCCACTTCCACCGCTGCTGGTGTGGTGTGGGTTGGGCAGGGTGGCCACAGAGAAGGGTGGGGCAGAGGGTGGCAGGCTGAAGGTCTTGGAGGCACCAATGGGCGAGGTCTCCTGCGAGTGCGGCGGGTCGGTGGAGCGTGAGCTGGAACGAGAGCGCCGTCTGAAACGGTAGCTGGGCAGTCGCAGCATGGCGTGCGTGGTGCTCTTGAAGAGGTCGGTGCGAGAGCGGCAGCGCAGCTCCTTGTTCTTCTCGATGTAGATGTTAACAGCGAGGACACCCACCATCTCGGCCAGGATGAAGGACAGGCCGCCAAAGTAGAAGGACCAGCCGTAGGAATAGTGCCACTTCTTGTCCTCATCTTTCTTGGGGGAGATGTCGCTCAGTGCTGCTGAGATGTACACGATCACTCCAATAATGTTGCTGAGGCCTGAAGAAATATACAAGACTTTTACTGTAAGTGCTCCCCTGAGACAAATTAACCTGCAGCTTCATTAAATTGTTTTCCAGGCAGCGATACTGGAACTGTTCCCTCTCAATTAAACAGAGAAGAGGCGGGCATAATATTAAAGTCAATCTGCATATCATACACAAGAACTTCTTATTATGCCTGTATTTCAGTGATCGGTCTCAAACAGCTAAATGTGAAATAGCACAGTATAATTCCAGTTTTATTAAGACAGATTGGAAAGACAAAGGCATGTTTTAAAGGCGGCAAAGCCAGCAGACACAATTTCCAACCAAAACTGAAATACAAAAGCAGATAGGACATTATGAGTTCCTGTTTTATAAAATTCAAACCCATATTTTAGTTCAAACTCATAGTATAGTTTAACATATATAACATATATATAAGAATATCCACAGGAAACTTCTCTATCTCTCTATCTCTACTATCTCCAAACAATGAGTGAAAGAACAGAGGCCGCAGTAGTCGTACCTGCAGCTACAAAGAGAATCCCTCCTCCGAGAATTATGTTTCTTTTGCTCTTGTAGAAGCCGCTGGAAGCGACACAGACTCCACCCAGCAGGAGCAGTATGGCGCTGAGGATGGGGAAGATGCTGGAGGCTCGCACCACACCTGCAGATGAGGACACAGACAGAAATATGTCATCTTGTGTACTGAAATGTCATCGTTTCTCAACTCTGTCAACTTTCTCCGGGCTTTGTTTTGTATAAAAATGACTAATTTTGTACTTTCCTAATGTAGTACAATTAGTGAGGTTTTGTTCTGAGGTTCAACACCATTTGAAGGTGCAAAGTTAACAGCCTTGTGACACTCTGGGAGAAAAGGTGTTACCAAGATGTGCTATAGCTGACACTACAACTTGGCTCTGGAACAGCAGCTATCTATTTATATAAGTTTACTACATAATATTTAGTACATAATGTCTTTTGCAGAGTTTTACAGACATGTGGGTTAGGTTAGTAAGTTATTAGAAATGTAGAATGCAGTGTCTTTGGAGACTGACCTATATTAGGGACTAGGTCCACAAACTTGATACAATTGCAATTCGAAACTGCTGCAATACTCTTAAAATAATGGCTGAGTCTATATTACGGTAGATTGCAACATGACCATCACCCTGCTCACCAAGGGGCAATTACCACAAATACCACAAATAATAAAATGTTTGTTGCCGTGGGGAGTTTCAGAATGACACTATGAATTTTTTGTTCCATGGAAGTGACAACACAGTGTCACATACAGAAGAACACCGAGCTCCAGGAGCAATTTGGTGTTTGTCAAATTGGAGTTATTTGGTCTACTTTTCCAGTAAACAAGTAGATCTCCTATACTGGTGACCTGAAATTCAACTCTACTGACTACAGGGCGAGGGCAGCAGGTATGAAACATAAAATCAATTACCTATATCAGCAATAATTATAATTTCCTTATCCTTATCTATTGACTTTTAATAAGCAGTTCACAGCCACTGCTACCCTACAGCTTAGGACCTTCAGAATGGCTGCCAAAGATTCACTTAAAACCCCTCTACAGTACATTTCTCTGCAGGAACTTAAAGCAGTAGTGATAACGTAGAGAGACATTATAGAAGATTAAAATGCTGAATAGCTCCATCTCGGGCAGGGACATGTGGAATAGCAGAGCCTTCAAGTTTTCAAGGTGACTTTTCAAGCTGTGTTAGCCTCTGAAGGGAAAAGATAATGCCGTGATGAGCATATATTCATAGGAGGGTCTCTCAGACATGTCAAACAGTGGTTGCAAGTGATTCTCTGAATTAGTTTTTAACAGGAAAAGGGACAGTGTGGGCGGTGTTTGCCTCTTCAGCACAATTAACTGATATTCTCATAAGTAGATGATGAGAACAAATGCTGAGCTGTAGGGGGTTTGTGGTGATTTTCAGACCTTTGGGGTGCTCAGGTGACAAACCTACTATGTGGGACCTCAACAGAATAATTAGTCAAATGATAATTGCCTCCTCCAATGAGGCTGGATGTTTAGTTCTACTTTGTTTGTTACCAGTAGAGCTCAAATGATAAGTCAATAAGAGATTAGTCGATCAACAGAAAAATTATGTTTCAGTCATTTTGCAAGCAAAAAAGACAAACGTGTGCTTGTTCCAGCTTCTCAAATGTTAGAATTTGCTACATTTATCACATATATTTGTGTATTGACTATCTTTGGCTTTTGGTTGAATGAAATAGGCAATTTGAGAACATCACCTTTGGCTCTGAGACTTTTTTTTCTCTGCTATTTAAAAAAAAAATCTATTAATAAAAAAGTGGTGGATTATTCTTTGGAAATGAAAATAATTGCTGCCTTTCAAATACTTAGATAGATCTCATTAGACTTTGGTGGAAAGTAAGTTGATGGACCAGTGGAAGAAGCTTTAGTTTATGGGGCTGATATAAGAGTTTGCAAGCTAAGGCATTTTTGAACATTTTTATTATTTTCTCATTAACAGTTAGCAGTCACTAGAATTAAAAACATCTGCGGCACATATCCCATAATTGTCTATGACTCTAAATTTAAAACATTGTCCATTATTAAAACAGACTGAAAGGATTGTGCAGCCCTTGGAGAGATAAAAGCTGTCTTGTTCAGTCAAGGTTGCAGAGCACAGCAGAAGCGAGAATGTAAGATAGCATCACAGCCTCCTTTGCAGAAATAGATACCTTTATATAATGTATGGATGGAACATATACTTTGTAAACCAAAAGGTTCAGGGCTGTACGAACAGAATTTGCCATCACAATGGAGGCAGGATGTGAAACCTGAATCCTGAGCTGAAAATAATCCATTAGTGAAGGCTGTTCTTTCAATCCATCTGTGGAAAAAAAAGCTTTCTGTACACCCCCAGACTCCCAACCCCATGCACCTGGGCATTTAAACACACAGACACACACACAGACACACACACACACACACACACACACACACACACTGTAGACACACACACTTACACACACCTCCAGGAACACTTTGCTTGAATCTGACATCCGTGCATTGATGTCCGCCCACCATCCCCTTCTGTCCTTTCTGTATCCGCGTGTGATGGAGACTGTAGTGTGTGTATGTGTGTTGTGTTCTGTTGAGATGTGTGTATGCACACTACGTGTAGTTACGGGCTGAATGTGTGTGTGTGTGTGTGTGTGTGTGCCAGCGCATGTCTGTGTGCATTTGTCGTTCTTTTGTAAATGTGTGCGTGTCACTCACGCAGCAGATACTCTGCAGCATCTTGGTCGTAGTCTGCGTCGTCTGGGAAATGGTTGATCTGGGAACACACACCTCGCTTCAAGCCTGAAAAAAGACGAAGAGGAAGAGGAGGTGAGGGTGCGGAAAAAGAAGAAGGTGGAAAAAAGTAAAGACCAGAAGGAAGAGAGGAAGACAGGTGAAAGACAGAATGTTGAAATGAAATGAAAGAGAGAGACAAGGCAAGGCAAGATTAGGCAGAGAGAAGGCAATGGGGAAGAAAGTGAAGACATACACGGGCAGGACCAACAAGAAAAGAAAAAAATTTAATGGTGAGAGGGGGGAAGAAAAGGAGTCATAGGGGAGGGAGAAAGATATGTAGCAAGAGATGTAAACAGCAAGGGAATAGAAAAGGAGGAAGAGGGAGTAAACAGGCTAACAGATGTAAAGACAAGACAAACAGATGAACGAATGAGAAAGTGAAACATTACTGTAGATGCAGAACGTGGAAGATGAACACAGAAAGACAGATCCGAGCTCTCAGTGAGTGTAAGGAAAATAAAAGTGACTGCAGATTTCTGTCACCAGCCAATCAGACAAATAGTTGATGAAGGCTGCACGATGCTTTGAGCCTAATGCTAAAGTCAGCATGCTAACATAACGGCAATGTTAACATGCTGATGTTCAGCAGTATAATGTTTACCATGTCCATGATCTTGGTTTAGCACAATAGCATGCTACCATTTGTTAATTAGCACAGCTGATGCTGACTGGAATGTATTTCTTCAGGTATTTCTTCAACATATTGGACTAATTAAAATGATTACAATTTATCTTAGGGCTAAGTATAGATATACATTTCAATCCATCCAATAGTTGTCAAGACATTTCAGTCAAAACCCAAAATGCTAACCTCATGGTGGTGATAGAAAAAAAAAAAATCTTGATTAGGATGCTGAAGAAGAAGAAGGAAAATGATTTGAATCAATATGATTTTATTTCCTGATTATCAAATCTGGCACCGACCAGATTGGAGTCATTCTTCATGATGCCTAAATCAACTAGAATTAAATCAACAATGATAATCTATAATTGTCTCTTATGCACAAATGCGATGCCGTCTTCCTCCTCTCATCTGTATGGCAACGTACAGTGAGTTGGCTTTTCACTCCTTCCTCCATGTGTCATTACCACACAATATGAAAGCTTTAGCTGTGGAAGAACAGGGAGTATTTGATTTGTTTGTTGACAGCTATTTCTGCATCTCATGGACAAACTAAACATCAAGAGGAAAAGAGAGATCCCATGTTTCTCATGCAATAAAATACGAGGAAAAAAAACATTAAAAAGAATGTGAAAAGGACACTTAAGGCTAACACAAAAGAAGAGTCAACAAAGAAAAACATGAAGTAAAAACAGATCCTTTAAAAAAAGGCAATCACATACAGCACGGATGGAAGAGTGAAGAATTATTAATCTAATAGAATCAGGAACTGGTTTAAAAAGAGAAGGGCAGAGTATCTAAAAAAAAACCTACCAGGCAACAACAAAAGTCAATGTTCTGCCGCATCTGAACAACAAGAGGTCTTTCCATATGACATAGCTTGCAAAAACTATTAAACTTAATGAACTCATTCTGGATGAACAAATTTCCCTCCATGTCAGACTTGATTGCACACAGTGGAAAACGCAGTGAAAAGGCTGGTGTTCTTGATGCCGGTCTCTTGTTTATGATAATTATTCTAATGCCTCAAAATGAATGTGGTAATTTACCGGTGTTAAGATGCAACATGTCACACATTTAACAAAAACACAAGAACCTTTAGAATAAATAGCCTTCTCTTGGAAACTCCTGAAAACATCTTCTATGTGTGTTTATTATGTATGTGTGTGTCCTCTCCCATTAAACCTGTCAGTCAGCTGCAGAAACGCAGGAAAACTACTTAATCAGTCACTGAATGAGTCACCGCTCATATCTGAGCTCTGGGGCATTATGATGAGCTTTATGTTGAATGCATAGTATGAGTGTTTGTGTGTGTCTGCGCATCAAAGTAAAAGAACAAGTGCAGAAGGGGGAAAAATGAGGCAAAGCTCAGATCTATCTGGAAATCCTCTTATCTGAATTGTGCACAAATGCCAAGATGTACCAAAAATAGTAAACACACATTAACTTTTTGAACATCTTATTATCATGTTTACAGCATGTCCTGGTATCATAGTGCATTAAAGGTACAACTACAGATTTATGGACCAACAACCAAGCTAAAATGTGTTGAAAACATAATTAAAAAACAACAGCAATCTCGCCTCCAAACAGGAACTATTAGGAAGAGAAGTGCGGATCAGGAGTTGGGTTTCCTTTTTTCCACCAAATAAGCTCTGGTTCTTGAACTGAACTGGTGGACTATGACACATTTTTATGATTATGTGCAAAAACGACTTCCCGCACACACTATCTAAGTTGCAATATAACATTTATTTTGTGCATATTGCATTTGTATTATGTTATAAATGTCAACGTCACATGTTATAATTGTTATATTGTAAGTTAGACTGTGCAGAAAATTTATTTTAGGCACCTGTTTCATGAAAAAGATGCATGGATTTTTTTTTTGTCTATGGTTATGTGCAGATGAGCACAGCACCTTGTAATGAAGGTTGAGGAGCAGAAGTACAGTTGAAGTACAGCAATATATCATGCTGTGTGTGTATGTGTGTGTGTGTGTGTGTGTGTGTGTGTGTGTGTGTGTGTGTGTGTGTGTTCATGAGTAAGGGGACACCTATTTATGTCTGTTCTGATTACAATGATGAGCACACTGACCTCCACAAGACCCTCCAGTAGTGACCAGCGCATGAGAAAACACCTACACAAGTTCAACCCCCATTGCATCCAAAGGTGTCCACAGCCTCGAACACACACACACACACACACACACACACATATGCACAAACATGCACAAATGCAACCAGCTGTACCTTCCAGGCAGCAGATCCTCCAGAGGCCGGAGTGGGTGAGTGCCCCAGGGTCTTTCTTATCTTTATTGTTGGAGTCCTCCTGGGAGGAGTTGGCTGTGCTGTTGCAGATGAAGGCGCGGGCGTACAGCCAGTAGTCTGTACCGATAGCCACCGTCATCAGGGCGAAGGCCGCGAATGCTCCCACAGTAGTCAGCAGCACCTGGATGCCCCGCTCACACCACACCATCGCTGGGCGGGGAAGGAAACTAATATCTGACAAGAACACAGACACCAAAATCATATTTCTTCATCACATACCAGTGCACATGAAAACACTGTAGTTCTGGCAGTAACTGTGCCAAGCAACCGTAGGTGACCAGAATTAGTGTCATCCTTTAATGATCCAAGGTTAGTGTCTGAAGGTCTAATAAAAGCATAATCTTAATCTTCATCACAAATCAAATGTTTAATATTTACACAGGAAACAGGAAGTGTAATGTTCCCATGAGGGCTACACCAAAATCCTGTGCGAGTGTAAACCTATTGTGGCGTCACCCATTGGTTTGTGGAGTATCATTTTAAAGCCTTGATTTTGGTATTATGGTTGTAGCCATGACGGTTTATCAGGGCCAGTGGAGGTGACATAATGTGAGTTGTGCTGCTCTCATTGGCTTTCAACCTTCAACAGGAACAGGTAATGCAGTAACATAATCTTGATTCATATTTGATCAGCACAGCCTGGATTGACAGTTTGATCTGAGTTTGGTGCGGTGAGCTGGACGGACTCACTGAGAATGAGCTGCCAATCACAAGGTAGCCACGCCCTAAAGCATACCCTGCTTTGTGGTCTATTCTACTCTAAATTGGACCATCATTTACGGAATGAACATTGTGTTGCATGGAAGAGGACTTGTGATTGAGATCATAAACTCATTAGGAAACTGTTTACTGAGCTAATAAATCAAGTGAGAAGTTGGGTCATGTCTCCATCTTCAGAGACCTGGAAGCTCTGTCCATTATATATACTGTCAGTGGTTTTACCTTAAAAATGAATTACATAAACATTACTTGGTGACTCTGTAACATGGAAAGTCAAACTCTATTGGCTGTTCGTTTTTGCAGTGTAATCATGTATGCACAGGCAACAATCAACTGCCAGAGCTAAACTTATAAAGAACGCCTTACTTATATGATTTCCATAGGGATTTATGGAAGTTAACAGTGGATAGACATCAGAGAAATCAGTGAAGGATGTCTTTACATTGAATTGTGATCCTGAGAAAAAGCACTGATTTTGCATCAGGTGATTTTGTTTAAAGCTCCAGATTACTCAGGAGCACTATTTACTGTTTCCATCCATTAGTAACTGATAACAGATGGAAGTTTGACACAGTTATACCTAAACTGCACAGTACAATGATCAGTATCATATTTCATGTGACTTATGGATGAGCTTCTTTGCTTGCAGTCGCTGTGGTGTCTTTTCCTGCACTCATGTCCGTCTGAGGCATCCAATCTCTGGTCACAAGACTGATTCTTTAACCTGTCCGAAAGTTATGGTCACCCTATACTCCCTATAAGGTTACTGATTGGTTTTAAGACTATCTAACTAACTAAGCCAAAGAGTCCATTCCTTACAATATTCAGGCTTATGTGAAACTAAACTGACTCTTGTATAAGTACTTTATTTCCACAACAGTTCAAAAATGCCCATGAAATTAAACATGGGATATTAAAAATAGGAATCGTAACCATATTTTCATTCCACCCTGTTCACAATTCATGCATTGCACTGTCAAATATTTATGCATTAATAGAACTGCTGTCCCCCATGGGCTACTGTGGGTGACTGGTGGGAGCTACTGATGAGGTTGAGTCTTTCCATTGCATTCTGGGTGAGCACACTGGAGCGGTTTTTAATCAAAAAACAGCGTACACAGCCTGAAGCAGTAAAGAAATGTTGGCAGCAGGCGACCAGCAGAAGAACAAAATGCCGACCCCGACGCATCAACAAAAATATAAAACATCAAAATATTGTTACAAAAATGAACTGCACACTGCTGGGAGACACAGCTTTGTAATCTGTCTGTAATCTCCACCAAAATGTTTATACATTTACAAAATGCATTATTTCATTGATCAGTGGTTTCTATCAGCAGGGACATGGTAGGACGGACACTGTCTGGTCGATTGGTTGATATACACCACTTGTCCAACCAAATTCTCATTGGTTGTACAATCAGTGCTGTTACTTTCATAAGGAGAAAAGTGCTTCTTAATCCATTATTTTCTACAGAGGAAGGGGCAGACCTGATTGAATTGTTCAGTGATATGCTGTAGGCTATTGTTAGAAATAACACTGATTATGTGAAAATAATATTAAAATATATTTTGTTTAAATGAATATGCTTCTGTGGTCTTTGTATGGTTTAACAGACAATGTGATCTATAAGACATTTTCACAACTTTGAATTTTGTTCTGCTTGAGCATGTTGTTAAGGGACTACTGCCTCAGGTTGGGGGATTTTGGACTAATAATGAGGGACGGTCGAAAGAATGTGTGAGAATTTTAGAGTTGTAGGTTGGATTGTTGCTTTTCTTTTTAGACTGCATTGCTTTATAGCGCGTTAGCTTTGTAGCTGTGCAAAAGCCTGCTTTGCTACGCAGTCCTCGCTGGTGCATGAGTGTGTATGTGTGTGTTCCTCTATGTACATTTACTTGATAGACATGCCATGAAGCCATGCTGAGAACGATATTGCTACATGTCAAAAAGAAATGGTCAAACTGCAGGAAATCATTTTCTTGGCAAGGTTGTGTAACTTTGATTAGCACCCAGCAGCTACCAGGTGTATTCAGTGCACTGTGTTCAATTGAGTTAATCTAGACAACATGCAGCTAGTTTTTTTAAAGTAGGTAAAATGTAGTCCACCAAGATTTTCTGTTTTTGAGTATAGTCCTTGTATATTCCACAGCACCTTGTCACAGTCTAACTCTGACCTTCCTGTCAAAACCTGGATTTCCAAAAGACTCAAGAGGCGTTAATATCAGCAGAGTTTGCAGGTATAGAAGAAATTTCTTTGGAATTTGTTTGCTGATACGATCAATAGGCTTAAATTGAAAAGACACTAAAGGGCAACTGCAGAGGAGCCAGAAATAAAAGCAAGCAGGGTATAGAGGCTTACATACACATTAATAAAAAGTAGGAGGGTAAAAGAGACAAGAGAGCAGTGGATGATGAGACAAGAACAGACGAGTGGAGAGGAGAGAGGAGACATAAATCGAAGCTGAGAGGTGAACAGTGAGAGGGACGACAAGAGGGAAATTGAGCTACAACACATCTGTTGTGCTTCAGGAAACATAAATGAAACATCCAAGGAGCGTGGAGGGGGCGACTGGGGGGGGGGTGGTTGGGGTTCTGCATAGGTTCAATTAATTACTTCGTATTTCAGCCATTTGAATACAAATGGTGGACAAATGCATGAAAACTGATTTAACGTCGTGAAAACCCTGAACTACAATATCTGTTATCATACGGTGGCAAATGGGAGGTTAATGTAAACAATCGATTGCACCGAGAATATCAATCCAAGTGTGGGCTTTTAAACTATTTGGCTAATTCAGCTGGCCTGAGGGGTGTTTCCATGGCAACACAAATCCCAAAATAACAGAGACCACTGCTACTCTGACCCTGAAACTGACCTGCCTGCTGGAATATTCATAAGGTAAGACATCACTGCGGTAACACCAATCCATAGGTGGAACTACCATCTGTTACTTAAGTAAAAATAGTAATATAATATACTCTAAGTATCAAAAGTAAAAGTACTCCATGATCCATTTTAGATCAAATACATATGTTACTACTGAATTTTAATAATTGATGCAGAAATGTATTGAAGGCAAAAAGTAAAATTTTAGCCTGTGAAATATAAAATAGCAGAACATTTCAATAATTAGAGTACAAGTTTCCTTAATTTGTACTTAACTACAGTACATGAGTAAATGTTACTTTTCGCCACTGTATCTATCAGGGTGAATAGTTTCATGCCAAGAAATATTTATTGCTTAAAACTGATCTTTGATTTTAATTTTTTAATTCATTGTAATGCATTAATGCAGTTCTCCCTGAGTATTGTTTAGTTTGCATTTGTGTTGCTGACTGTTATCTGTTACTAATATTCCTTTACTTAAACTTTATTTTTTCTATTCTAAGTTCTAAAATTTTGAGTCTTTATTTATCACTTACAAAATCTGCAATCCGGTCTGTATCTTTACATATTATTCAATAATTTGAGGAACAAAATACTCTACAGTGATACTAATATCCAGAATCACTGTGTTGCTTGGATTCAATTGATTTAAGGATGAAATGAATAAATCAATTTAAAAATGATTCAGTGCCCAGAATAGCAAAACATCACAGCAGTACTGGAACCAGCATCATGTGGTTTAACAGAGAAATATCACGAATAAGACAAAGCTGTTAATTGTAGATTAAAAATGAACAGTCGATTTGGAAAACAACCTGGCAATATGGCACCAACAGGCATCCTCCATGTTTACACTGGATTGGTCACATTCCTGCTCGACATTCAAAAGCTTCAATGAGGTCTTTTCAACCCTTATAAGCAGACTGGTTTCCACAAATCTTTCAGTTTAGTTGGTCAAAAGCCAGCTTTTTATGTGTTGAAATAAGCTGCAACATGGATGCTTAGCCACTGGAATGCCTAATACACAGTATGTTTAGCATTTTTGAGGATGGCCACAGATGGAAGTGGTGAATTGTAAAATACAAAAATATATTAAACCCAAGTCAGTTAAATGGCCGGTTTATATGAGCCCAGCTTTTACTTCAAGCATATTTGTCATGTGTAAATGCTTCAGGATGCAGATACAAAGCCATTTCAGGCAACAATGTTGATTTAAACAAAACTCAGTTGCATCTAGTGTCGACAATAAAAGTGGTGACACAACACTTAGTATCCTAGCTGTGCTTGATCCTGATTGGTTAACCTCCTCAAAAAAATGTATGGGATCCAACCAACCAAGGCTGCTTTTTGTATTTGAAAATAAATATATATATATATATATATATATCTGTAGTCCAGAGCCACAGTGCATGTAAAGACAACGTTATGAAAAGTGAATGACATTTCAACTTTCAGGCAGATCATTTCAGTATTGCAAAAGCTGCTTCAGTCATTTTTTTGTACAGCGTGATTCCTGAATGTGTCAGCGCTCCCTTCTGTCATCTAACAAACGTTTAGCTTGGTTACACAAATGCCAGCGCAATCAAAACCACTTGCCTTCTGAATCCAGACCTCTGCACACACACCGGCGAGTGTGTGTGTGTGTGTGTGTGTGTGTGTGTGTGTGTATGGGTGGTTTCCTGTACGATTGTGTTTGTCCATGCTTGTCTGTGTGTTTGAATGTTGCTTGAAAATCTATATACATGTGTGTGTATGCATACAAGACCCCACATGTGCATCTGGTTGTTTGCTTTGTGTGTGAGTGTGAGACCACATGCACGACTGCTCTCTGTCTGTGTGTGTGTGTGTGTGTGTGTGTGTGTTACCTGGGGGCATGTTTCTGCCTTTTGCCTCCATCTCCTCTCCCCCCTGCTGCTGCTGCTGTTCTTCTTCTTCGTCGGTGAAGAGCGCTCCGTAGCCCCGGTCCGAGCCGCCTCCATCCACCGTTTATCCTTCACTTTCTCTCCTCTTCTCCTTCCCTCGCTCCTCTGCCTCTCCCTCTCTTCTTATCCCTTCTTTCTTCCTCTTCTTCTGCGTCCTCCTCCTCCTCTTCTTCTTCTTCTTCTCCCTGTCCTCTCTTTACCTTGAGCGCTCCTTCTTTCCTTTTCAGTGAGCGGGGGATGCTTCACTTGGCGTCCGCTCCTCTCATTGAATTGTCATGGCAGTCATCTTAGCTACTGAGGGAAGGAAGAAAAGGGGGGGGAGAGCAGATGAGAGAGAGTGAGAAGAAAAACAGAAAGAGAGGGAGAGAAGCAAAGAACAAGGAGAAGATGAGGGAGAGGAAGAGATAAGAAGATAGAGGGGGTGAAAGGATGGTGTCGATTAATGAACGTGACATGAGTCTTGAAACCAGGGGATGCTCCTGTACCGAAGCATCTCCCAAACTAACGTGTTTCCTATATGAGATTGATAATATGTCATTGAAAAAACAAACAAACAAACAAACAAACAAACAAACAAACATCCAGAACCTGATGCTGACGGCAAAAAACGAGCCCCCTGTCAAACAAGAGAAGCTGGTTTGCTTCTACAGAGAGAGAGAGAGAGAGATAAAGCAATAGAAAAGAACAGGCGATGTGAGAGAGCGTGCTCTATTCCATTGCCATGGCAACAGTGAATTCCAAAGTCTATGGTGGAGCTGGTGAGCGTGTATGTGTGTATATGTGTTTGTGTGTGCGTGTGTGTGTGTGTGTGTGTGTGTGTGTGTGTTGGGGGAGTAGAGGGATGGATGTAACAGCTGAGAGGATTTTGTTGAGATTGAAAAAAATAAAAAAGTGTGTGAATTCCATTGGTGAGCAGAGGAGCCTCGATGTCATACATGACAGATAGAAACACACACCTGTACACACACACACACACACACACACACACACACACACACACACACGTTCATGTTCTGTATGTACACGGTTGCCTATAATACATGAAGAATGAACATTCACAGGAGAGATGACAGACTTGTGAGTCATTAGCACTGTGGTGACAGTGTCTCTGCATGTTTCATCCATCCAACTTTCTTCCTGTTGGTGCGATGGTCTAATCACAAGCATTTAGTGCTGTTTCATGATTTGAAATGCACAATGCCGATCTCTCAAAGCTGAAAGATCCGGAGCAAGTGGGTATTTGATGCCCTGCTCGAGGGCATTTTAGCAGAGCTGCTTGAACTCGCATCCTACATCTCAACGAGCAGAGACTTGCTGAAGAGAAAATCCCTGTCAGCACTGACACAGGGTCAGATTTTGTTGGGGTTTTTATTTCGGGATTTTTTACAAGCTGTTGCCAAAACTGCAGGGCGCCCAAAATCCACATGAAAGGCACCAGCAGCAGAAGCAGCAGGGGATCCCAAGTTTTCTCTCTTTTTTTTGTACGTCAACAGCATATTTAGAGGCATTTCTGACCATAAACCTGCCTTTAGAGACTCCCAAGAAAAAACAACAACATTCAAATGCCTAAATACATGTTTGCATTTGACTGACAATGGATCTCTATCAGATTTGTGAATTGCGATTAGGAGCAAAGGCTGAACTACCGTGACAGATTTTCATTAAAGGTGCAGAAAGCGATTCTGGAGAAAGAGAGTCTCATTCCCAGGTCATCAAACACTGACGCTTTGGGCCAACCCAAGGTAGGTACACAGGTGTTTCACAACCTGGGAATAAGACTCAACAATCAACTGTCTGACTTACCTTACTTACCTTCACAAATTGCTATGGGTTGCTTTGGAAAGCAATTACAAACATATCTTCTCATGTAGATTGGAGGACTTATTGCCCATTTGTTAAAATGTTTGCCTGTGGTAGAGGTCTTCACGGGTCCAAAATTTTGTTCCTGACACAAAACACATCTAGTACACAAGTAGAGCAATATGACTTGCATAAATGAAGACAAAGGGACCTGAGGACCTGTCTCCAAGGATAATTAGGCCAATTCACCTGACCTGAGTTGACGGGTATTAGACATATTGACACACAGACCAAAGACCCTTGGGTTCTGGGTTGGGTCTTAGTTAACCATGAGGACCCATGAAGACCTCTAGTCGGTACTGTTAGTGGCAGATTAACAGCAAGAAAGGTGTGACATCTGGACACATTCCAGCCACATACAGCCACAGCAGCTGTCTCTGTAATGAAATATTAACACTGACACTCCTGTAGGCAATATTTGAGATTTGAATAGTTTCAACCAAAATTGTTAAGGATGCAGTGAATCAGTTTTTCACAGCATAAAACGGTTGTCTTTGTCTTGTCATTCTGGAATAAAACTCTTTAGTTTCTCTATTTTTTATATTAAAGCATGCCCAGCTAAAAGGCTAGATCATAAACTACCACAGAAAAGAGTCTCCCATATCATCCCTTTTTAGATAAGACCAAGCAGATTCTGCTGTTGTGGAGTCACTAACGGGAACTGCTCTCAGTGAACAGTGAGTAAGGAATCAAAATTACAGGCAGAAATCAAAGCTTTTTTATGGCAGCAAGTGAACAAGGAGTCCATCCAGAGAAAACTGTGCACACTGACGCTGGCTGAAACTCTTCAACACCTCCACCCCCACCAGAGAATAATAAGACATCTAACGTTGTCTTGCATGATTTTTGGCTGGAAAAACTCTTTAAACTTTCAAAAAGTCCTAGTGAAAGTGCCAAGTGCAAGTGTGAAGTTTGCTCATGTAGCATTTAAACACATCCTTTGCTTGGGACCCATAGATAGAGACAAACCACTGATGTGTCACATCACTGTCAGGTTTCTAAAGAGAAACTCTGAAGATTGACTTTTGGTTTCCTGAGTGTCGATGGAGCGAAATGTGGGATAAGCAAGCAACACAGCCTTTCAACAGACAGCACATCTAACCAGAAACTACATTTTATGGAGAAAAATGCTTATGATTATTGCAAGCTACTGCAGGCATTTATATGGATGTTTGCTACAATCAGATGAATGGTTTGATTCCATGAAGGGAAAAGTGTAATTGTGGCAAAACCTTTGGGTGGCTGCAGACTTCCACAATCAGCTGTTTACACATCATATAAGGTCATCTATCTACAGACAGACCATTGCCAACTTTGTCAAACTGAAGCTGAAAACTTTAGTCTTTGAGTTAATATGTGCTCTACACTTGTTACACAAGTTATGGCAGTTTATGTCAAATAGGACATGCACAGGATTTTGACAAAAGCCTACTCTAATATCAAACTAATAATGAGAACTATTTTTGATTTTGTTTGTTAACAGAGAATTTCAGAGTTTTGTCAGTAATATAGTATGACTTTTATTGAATAGCCCATCTGGTGGTTATTAGAGGAACTGCAGCTAAAAACAGTTCAGTATTACACTCAGCTTTCATCTGATTGCTGTGTTTTGGGACCCCTTGAAATGCCTGGAGGACCCCTGGGAGGGCCTGTGATTAGTAACAACAAACAAAACAAAACCAGGAACTCAGAGGTTGTTATTTTGTGCACAAAACTCCTAAAATTAACCTCCTTTTCAGGCTGACAGTGTTGATTAAGAGGGGGGCTCCCGCAGCACAACATGGAACAAACACATGCTGGAAGGGCTTGCCGGTGGCAGCACAGATGCACAATGCAGAGAATAAAAGTTCAAGGACAAATCAGCCATGCTCTGCATCGTGAATGCAGCGACAATATGAATCCTGCTGTGAATACGGAGCAGCAGCAGAACATGGACGTAGTGTAGGAGCTGTTTGGAGCATTGGTCATGATCATAATGCACCGTAGTGGCGAGTCATCATCAAACAGCAAGTCTGTAGAGAGATCAGAGGCATGATGGGATGAATGGTCCTGTGTTTGGTGTGTGAAAAGGGTGTATCCCTGTTTACATGTTAGAATTACACTATAATACTGTAATGACTGTGCAAAATATCCATCTATAAAACATGCTGAAAGATTTTAATGATACCACCTTACAGAACCACATCATGAGAACATTTTTTAGATCTGATCTCTCTCTCTGACCATGTGTCTGTTTGTCTGTTTTTATAAAATGCAATACTACACCATACTAAGGTATTTGGATAATTAAATATTAAAGGATTTTAAGGGATAGATACGGTTTTATAGGAATATGTTAGTATTGAGTTTCACAGACTTTCCTGCAGAAGTATTATGGTAACATCATAATGATTTATTGTGTGCCTTGTGTTCCCCTAAAACTATATAATACGGTAGAATAACCACCCATCCTCCTACATTATGCAAATTATCTGGCTATATTCATAGGAGTCTTCAAGTAAAAGGGATGTTGAGAGGGAGAAGTTAACTTTTTTTAATTCATGTTATTTTTGTATTTTATTTTTTGTTATGAATCAAATATATGGATATTGTGCACAAACCCCAGCTGGAGCAAAGATAAACTCAGTGGTCAGGAAGGAGGATCAGGTTGCTTCCTTCAGTAATATTCAATACTCAGACAGTGGAATCTAAATCCAGACTCCAGCTGGAGCCCACACTCTGTACATCCCGCCTGCACAGCGGATCCTACACATACTATAACAAAGCCTGTTCTCTAACAAAGGACAGAACAAATGCAACTCACCCGTCAAGTTGATGGTGTCATGCTCCATTTTGTTATAATTAATAAACAAAAATCATTGTACATTAATAATTCATATACATGGAGAGTCTGTGGTAATAAGTTTGACCATAATGTATATTTTATGTGATGTTTTTTTTTAATCTCCTGTAACATCTCCACAGGCTCTTAACAGTTTCACTATAATACTGCATCTTTACATTTCTCACATATTGGCTCTTTCCCACCACAGCTTTTCTTACCTTATAAAACGTCTTCACACGCACGTCTTCTTCACTCTGAGCTACAATGAGCAGCTTTGCTTGATAAAAGCAGTTTTTAAACTATTTTAAATAAGCAAATGCAAAGCGGTGCGCAGCCGTTCCCAGATGGTTGTTTGGAGAGGACAATGTGTACATGTGCATGTGCCGCGCTCCTCTCCAGCCCTAAGCATGCGTACACGGGTCCGATTCATACGCTGCCACGTCGTTAATGCCTGAAATGCAGCCGTGGGATATTGGCGATCAGATTGATGAATATGTTGATCAGTTGTAAGCTTACCTTTGCATGAGCAACTTTTGCAGCCGGTTCTGACGCAGGTGGCGGCGAGGCGCGTGAAGGTTGAGAGAGAGAGAGAGAGAGAGAGAGAGAGAGTGGGGGGGGGGATGTACTGGGAGGTGGGAGAGGAAGAATGTCAGGTCTGGATGTTATGTGTTTTTTTGTGCGCATGTGTGTGTTTGCATGAAGGGTTAATGAAATGAGTTGTTGTTTTTGTTGATTTAATCTCAGATGGAACAAATTGCGCAGGAGCTCTCTCATCACGTCAACATTTACACCAGCAGAGAGAGTCCATCACTTCATTCTGTAGTTTCTATCCGCCTCTGTACCTGAAGGTGAGGCAGTGAAGATGTGATGAGGAGGGTGCAGACTGAGCGAACAGGTGCTTTAATATTAGTTGTGAACAGAGGTGTGACCAAAATCCTTCTGATGTCTTCAGACAAAAGTCACAAGCTCTGACAAGTCCGTGTCTAAATGTGTCTCAGGTCTAAATATGGAAAACCGGGTCAAATCTGAACACAACAGCAGGGAGGCTGCTAGAAATTCTGGGTCCCCTGGAAACGGCTAACCTGGGCCTCCAAAAGGCTGTGATGACCTGCATGTTTCAGGGGCCCAGTCTGCTCCTTCATTCAGACCACAACCGCCATCCCCTCCGCACACTTCTTTTAATAAATAAAAACCTTTTATATTTGCTTTGCTGTGTGATGCCATTAGGGGTTTTGGTTGGATCTTACACGCACTGTTGTGGCCGGGATGATTTCTTTTTTTTTTTTTTTTTTTTTTTTTTTTTTTTTGAAAAAAATTTTTTTTTTTTTTAAATTTTTCTTAAATTTGGGGTCCCCCGAACAGCAACAAAGTTAACATTAATAATCTTTTCTCTACTAACTTACAGGGTGCAAATTAAAGGTTTCATATTGGAAAATATATATAAATATGTTTCACTGCCCCCAAGTAAAAACCCACAACGGTATGTTTAATGGACAAAACATTAAGAGCCACTCTTTCCCCAAACCAGACATTGCTCATTTGTCCCACTTCCGTTATGAAGGAGAGGTGATGAAGACGAGGAGTTGGGTTACATTTTATTTTAATGTCCTCTTGACAATCAAGATATGGATTAAGCACAGTGGGGTTGAACTTCGAGGGCAGGTAGGAGTGCCTAATATTCTTAAAGGGATTGTCTGCAGGGGGCTGATGATCACTCAGTGATTGCTGGCTGCAGCTGCTGACATTTTCCCTTTTAAAAAGCTCCAAAAACGTTCTGGAATTTGGATCACAAACTTTATTCGGGTTTTTGAATATTTAATGTAAATCTGTGTCTGAATATGTGTTTGGTAATATCTGTCTGTTATTGGTTGATAATAATAATGGAAAATCAATAAGTGTGTTCTACACAGCGAGGTAATCAATGTGTGTAAAAGTCAACACTGTGCCACTGTGTCGAGATCTACATCCATCAAAGTCAAAGCAATGCTTTTAAGTTATTATGCAAGGGTTATCAAAGCTCTGAATGGAAAAACAGCTACATAATCAACAAACGTTTTAGGACTACACTACATTAATGTATAACAGTATTATTGAAAATAATGTTCTGCCCTTGCTTTATCAATAGGTGCACAGCTAGCAAACTAAACACCCTTCCAACTTGTGCACTTAGGGTGAAGGTCTCCACCAGGTGTGTCAGGGGGCATTCAGACCAACACAGAGTAAAAGTAAAATAATACAATAAAATAGCTAGCCTACATAACACATAACCCAGCAGCGGATTGGAAGTTACTTAGAATGTAGCAACACAGCTAACCTTTATGACTGAATGTAGGTGACTGTCACAACCCGGCTGGACAAAGAAGGGGAGAACACACATGAGTTGTGACCCTAACCCTAAATCACAAATTAGTGATCAAACAAACAGCTACAATAAAGAGTGCTGACAGATACTCTTTTAACAAGGGCTTTTGGAAAGTAGATAGAATGATTTCTGTCAATATTTGACAAAGAAAACTACAATTTTGACAAAACTGTGGATGTATTAATGTCAGTTAAACTGCCTTGGATATGGGTTGCTATAGCAACATAATGTTCAACTGAAACCAACTGCTGGTGGCAAATAGACTAGTTATAGTAGTCAGTGGAGAGTAACTAAGTACATCTACTCAAGTACTGTACTTAAGGAACTTGTACTTTATTTGAGTATTTCCCTGCTCCGTTTTTCTGTGTTTATTGAAAGTCCAAGATAAATGAGATGAATGACGTAGGGGCCTACCGTTTATTTGCTTGTTGTCGTTACTTTATACTACTACTACTTTATACTTTTACTCCACTACAACCCAGTGGGAAATATTGTACTTTTTGCTGCATTGCATCAATAAATATCTTCAGTTACCAGATATTTTGCAGAATCAGATGAAAGAATGCAAAATATAAGCCGCAAATACATTGTGATGTATTGTTATTGTAGGCCTATGTATAATTTACAGTTTATTTACTGAAATGCCATCTTGTATTATGAGTTACTTACTTGCCTACTTTTGAATGCAGGACTTTAACCTGTAACAGAATATTTTTACACTTTGGTATGGCTACTTTCAGTTAAAGAGCTGAGTACTTCTTCCACCACCACATTCACTAATAAGGAGTATTATAACTATGGATCTCTCCAGTCAACCAGCAGGATCAGAACATTGGGTTGGTTATTATTGTTATTATTATCATCATTATTATTATTATTATTATTATTATTATTATTATTATTACATGAAGCCTTATCTATTCCTGATCAAAAGCTGTCAGAAAGTTGTCAACATCTCATTGCATGTTTGTATTATGTGTGAAAAAATTAAATTTCATGTAAAATTAATTTTGGATTGGCCTCAGTACAGTCTCAGCTGCAACAGAACATCATGAATATGTAACTGCTTAATACCCTCGTCAGGTGCATACTGTTGTGATGCTCCCTCTGTTTCTCTGTTGCCTTCCAGCAGAGAAGACAGAGGCAGAAGAAACAAGACAGGGAGGCTACTAGGAAAGAATAAAGGCAGGAGAGAAGAATGAGCGTGGAAAGGAAAACAGACAGGTAGAACAAGACAGCCTTTACAGGTTTAATAAGGAACAGTGAGGGAGCTAAACTAAGACGGATAGTCAATATCGATCAGAAGGTTGCCAGGGGAAGGGGAGAGTTAAGATGTTTGTGTGTGTATGTGTGTGGTGGGGTTATACACAGGAGGGGAGCCAGAGTAATAAAGACAGACGGAGAGGAAATCAATGCCCGGGCCAGCAAGACAAACATTTAGAAATGAAGTGCAGTGCCCCTCTGTAGCGACAGTAAGAGCCAGTCGGCCAGAACTTCCACTGACATTCACAGTCCAGTCACACAGTGGGCAGCAGCAGATTACACAAGACTGAGGAGACTGTAATAAAATGGCAAGCACAGAAAAAACTTCTAAATGCAAATATATATAAGTATCAACAAGTAAAAGTATGCCTACTGTGAAGATGAGAAGAGTTTTGTTTGAACTGCTTTTTTCTATACTATGGACCCTGGGCACAGATCCCACGGGGGTCGGAGGGGACTGTGTATCCGGTTCAAAGGTTTGCATGTACTTAACACAATGAAAACTTCAGCAATAATGCCAAAAACTCATTTTTATTAAAGTTACCTGCAGCTTTGTAGTAGAAATAATATCCCTTAAGTTTGAATATTGCATTTCTAAATGTTGTGTTGTTTTACGTAAAAATGTCAGGTGAGCCCGGGGACCTGTATACCTGAATGGCAAACCAGCTGTCAAGAGTTCATTTTCATGCTTTTCTCATCTACCCAGGAGGCATCTTTGGTGAGTTTGGGTCTCCTGCACACCTGATTCCTATCAACAAATCACCCCTGTGACCTGCTCCCTGCTGGCTCAGCCAGCCTTTATTGGCTCATCAGGATGCATAACATTTTATAAGCAGTCCTTTTTTGCCGTTAAGGCGACAAGTTGGTGTTCAAGCTACTCTAAATAACTTGCCAAAATTGGGACAGACCAGCTGCCAAAATAGGGATCTGTCCCCACAAAATGCTTGCAACTGCCTCCTCTGATCAGAAGAGTCTGTTCCTGCTGCTGAAATGAAAAGTGCAGCTGGGAGCTCAGTGGTGCAGACAGCATTACGTCATTCTCACTCCCATGTAACATCAAGTTTGAGAGGAGCTTGCAAACTTTATAATTAGTGTCAGGCCAGTTATCTGAAATCACAGAGGGATTATAAGGTTGTCCAAAATGAAATTGGACCAGAGAATTTTAACAACAGCTCTGTTTGCTCTCCCTGAATACACTGCGCACCAGCACAGGTGTTCTCAGTTATAGATAGATAGTTATTTAGGCTGATTAGACTTTTTCTCAGGAACACCTTGTTAGATTTGCTGTATGATTCTTCAGACTTCAGCTTATCTGCAGCCAGTACCCATCCAAGTTCAAACTGTTAAGAGGTCGAATAACAAGTGAAAACACCTGCAACACCTTTCATAACGTACCCTGTGGGATTTCACTGTAAACACATTAATTTTCTTCCTCATTTTGTCACAAATGCATTGTATGTTAGGCAGAAAAACACTGGATTTACTACCGTTTACAAAACATTTGCAAGGACTAATTTGTGAAGAGAGAGATTTGTGCATGATGTGTTTTTGGGCAAACATACAAGAAAAATAACCAAAAACAAAACAATTTTTTATATGAAATCTCTAATAAACCTCAGCAGTCTGGGGACACCCGCAATCCTTTTCTGGATGCCATAGTTAGGTGTCAGTCGAGCAGTACGTATTGACAGTAATTTCCCTTATTTCTGAAGTTACCATCTTCCCTTACTCATTAAAGGTTTACCTCTCCAACTAACAATTCACATAACAAGGATCAGGTAACAAGCTGCCCACCCCATGTCATATAATATGTCCATATGATAGTACTGTGATATGCTTTGTAATAAAACAATATAATGATTCATTATCTCTTAATATTCCAAATGCATACAACCTCAAAAGTGTTATGCAAAGGCTGACTCATGCTTTAATAATGCACCATAATGCATCTCATTTTCCTACCTGCGATTATTACATAAGCGACCACATGCATATGTTTGTAGAACTAATCGATCTGTGAATCACTTTGTAACCTTTTTTCTTTTTTTTTGCATTTCAACGCATTACACATGTTCAGAGGGTAGGCCAAATGATTAATGTTACAATGAAAACTACTGAAATGAACAACTAGCAATCTAAAATCAACCTAAGTTTTCAAGTTCTGTTCTGATGTGTACCAAGGAGCGATTTCAGTAATTAGTGGGTAAAAATAAATCTGAAAGTGTTTGAACATCTCTAATGAGGAGCAGCTCTGTGACCCTGATGTATTTCTCTAAGTGCTTAAGCCATGTAGTTAATTCAAATTAGCTAAATGGATCAATTTAATCATAATTATTCACAGGGAAATTAATTGAATAGGTCAAAAGCACCTTACATCCCTCAATGTTTTTTTTTTGTAAAACATGCAAGAGTAAATATGAACAATAAATTGAGCATAGCGTTAGTTCAGGCAGGGCACGAAGTCAGGCTTAGCTTTCAGTTACAGCTATATCATACGATCACAGCTAGTCATAAACATACATCAGCTGATTCCTCTAAGCTTCCCATTGGATACCATGCACAGTCAGCTGACAGCTCACCTGATTTCCTCAAGCATCCAATTGGCTAACATCTACATGGCGCCTTATTTAAGCTGCTTTAGCCTGCCTGCCTATCTCTGCTGTTCCTCTACAAGCCTTTTTGCACCCACCTCCGACCCAGCTCCTCCTTTTTATATTTCTAATTAATCAATGTCATTTTCTGATTGCCATTGATGCTTGCTCTGTTCTGTACCCTGGGGGGTCTCTGCTGCCGCTCTCCTTGTCTTAAACTTTTCCATGTATGCACATGGAAGGGCAGGGAGGTGTGCTCTCCCTGCCTTAAGGTTTTCCACGTAGGCACGCGGAAGGACAAGGAGGTCCCAGAACAGAGCCATACCGCCAAATGTAATTCTGCTTGGAATATAAGATATTTTGACGAAAGTGGTCCTGACTGAACTTATCAAACAGTAGTTATACAATCTGAAAAATGTGACTTTGTGTAAATACAGCTTAACATAATATGTGCTAAACTAATTTATGAAAAGTATACAGACAAGAACCAGACATATATATATATATATATATATAGTGTTTTTCTCCCTCCCTATTCATTTTGTAACAGGCATTATTAATTTGCATTATAAGCTGCAATCTCAACCTATTTTATTCATCAAAGAACAAAAAACGTTAGACACGGCTGATTTTAAATAATGTACAATAACCTTGCTTTCTAACCACTGCTTGAATTCCCATGAGTGTGTTCGACGAGCAAATATGATAAAAACAAAATAAGGAGGCTGGAACCAGGCAAGCTTTATTGGTTTTAAACTTAACAAAACACCGCTGGCAGATAAAAACCACACTCCCGCAAGTAGCACGTTTGCAGGAATGATGAAAACAAATTTTGTTTGAACTCACATGAATTATATGCTCGATTTTTGACAGGTATTGAGTCAATAAAATGTCACTGGACTCAAAACATATACGACCATGTAAACTTCTCTACCTTTTTTATCATGTAAACACGTCTTGGGTAGACTGCATACAGCGTGTTCAGTATGAATATTTACACCTTTTTTATCACAGTTTGAAGAAATGTCTGCATTGAACAAAGGAAGTAAACACTTCAAAAAATGCTTCACTGCATCAGAGTTCTGCTTTTCTGCTGTGATGTCCTCAAAACAACACTGATGCTTCTGATTTACTCGTATCAGAGAAAAACCTCCAGAAGTCGGCTACATAAATATATCTGTGTATGTCTGTTTGTGTGTCTGTGGTGCTTGTGTATGCTCACTACACAGCATGAATGCTCAGCTTTGGCAATTAAAATAAACATCTCAAAACATCAGCAAAAAGCTCTCATACTCAGCTGCTAAATGATTTCCTATTTAATTTCCACATATAGCAAATAGTCATAAAAGATGCTAACACCGCAGTTAATTTGCTACACTGTTTTTTTCTTTAACAGTACCACAGGTTGTAAGCTTAACATTTTCCCCCGTAGGTCTAAAAATGGCTACAAACGATGCCCTATGCTGGGCACGATCGTTAATATGCTACAAAAACAAGCAATCTTTAAGTTTGTCACCTTAAGTCACTGTGCAACATGAGAACTTCAATGGGAATCAAACTGAAAATCTGTTGTCAATGTCATTTATTTTCTGTGTGTAGGTATAAAATATGTTAATCAACTTGTACAAAAGTAAGTGGACACCCCTGATTGTTTTGTCAACTGCCGTTTTGAAGGTCAAGAATGACCTCCACTTTTGAGTCAGCGAGGATTGGAGGAGCTAGAGGTGCTGAGAATCAGAATCACTACACTCCAGGAAACCCTAACTTCATTAAAGATAGCGCCACCTACTGGAAACAGGAAGTAAGCCTTGTATGACATATCATACTCTGATTTACATGGGATTTTCATGGTATGGTCTACTCATGATATCCACGCTTACTGGGAGGGCTTGTTCATCGCTGCTTGCAGCTTCAATTGATTGCTGAGTGTCTTTCAGAGGTTGGCAAAAACCCACGCTGTGGGTTATGGTAAGTGTCTCAGAGCTGAATTCTCAGGTATTTCCAGGCAAATGATATTAGACAACATTTCCTGAATAAATCTTTCCTCTTATCACCAGACAAAAGATCTTTCAACTCTGAAATAAATTATAAATTATTATTTATATTATTATTTTATAAATGATATGGACTTTTCTGGACCCTGCAAGACCTTGGTGAAAATATGTATAATCTTTCTCCAATTATAGATTGCTAAGCTGATTACATTAATAAACAACAGGAGGAGAAGTGGAACGCAATGCCATCTGTCACAGTGCACACAGTTTTCAGTTTGCTTCCCATGTAAGCTTGTGTTCATCAACGTGCCATCTATCCTTTATATAAACCTTATTTCTTATGTAAAACCAGGAAGAATTAGATTCAATTTCAAATCAGTCAATTCAGGAAGCACATCGTCATTCCAATAAGTAAAAAGAATAACTTTTATTATTCTGAGTAAACCTCCAAACTGTCTAATATGTCAATGATATTGACTATATGGGAGTTGGCATGAACATATATTTTTTAAAGAGCTCTAAACCTGAAACTTCCACTGACTTTCTACCATTGTTACATACTTCATAATCAGTCAGGTACTGAGCAGTAGAGCCAACAGGTAAGTCTAGTTTAAGTGTTTTAAGTTTAATTATCTTTTCTGAACTGAATGGATTCAAATGGAATCCAATCTGAACCCGGCTTTAAGAGTTCTGGTTTCTTGTATCTGCATGTATCATTATATACACACCTAAGAAATGTAATTCTCACTTCCATGGCAACAGCGTCAAAACTCCAAGGCAGCCATTTTGATTGTACCATGATCACCGAGGAAACAGACAGTCCCTGTTCGGTTAATGTTACAGAAACCACAGAAGCTTTCCGACTGCACTCGGCACTTTTAAAAAGTCTGTTACGTCGTCGGTTTCTTTCCACAAAATGTTGAACATTCATCCCCAAAGCTTCCCCTCAAAATACAAACAGCTTAGAAAATCCAAAAGCTAAAACACCTAAAACATACTGTAGTATTTACACCCCATGATAGTCGTACAGGATTACGTTTTTGTAACATTTGCTTCAGCAAGAACGTAGGAGAGGGGGGAGAAGAATTTCTATACAGCTGAAGTATAAATCTCTATGCATATACAGTTTACCTCCGATTGTGTGTATAACAGGTGTGATTGTAGGTCATGGTACATGGGCAAAAGTTGTAAGCAATACTTATTAATTATAATAATATGAACATTCCTTATCATATTGTTTTTTTTTTTTTCAAATACAGTTTTTCATGAACAGGGTTGGGAAGTAATATAGTAAAACATGGTAGTTTTTTTTTTTTTTTACAAAATAAATGTGATTGTGGAGGACATTTTGAAAAAAATGGTTAAAATGATCATTACGACAGTCTTGAGTAGGGCTGGGAAACATGGTCTAAACTTGGTTTTCTTTACACAGTTGCAATACAATATCAGTTTTGACTCAAATGCTGTGCACATGTAGAATAAATACATAAATCAAATACATTTGAACATATTCTATTCACTAAAATCTGTGCTGACTCGTCATGCGGCTGTTATTACTGGAGCAGTACAATTCACTGCTGTCATTCTGAAAATGTTTGATGTTCTGTTGCTTCACAGATAATTTCTACAAACTTCCATACCGATCACACATCATTCTGAACAGACATTTTTTTTAAATCAGCTGTCGCTATCTTAAAGGGAAACTTTTGCCAATTTTCAGCCAGCCTTGTATCTTTAGATTATGGGTGGTATATACAAATGAATAATGTTTGGAGGCAGTGCTCCATTCATTCCTATGAAAGCTGCTCAGTGGCTGCTCGAGCCAAAAAAGCCACTTCCCATTGCAAAGAAAGCACCTGGATAAGAGCGGCACACGCTCTATTCGCCACTGTGACCGAACTTCGGGTTTATCCCTCTGTTAATTTGAGTGGGCATAAATCATTTAATGTTGCAAATCTTCTACACTTATCGGACTGGATGGATCAAATTCTGATAGCGAAATGAAACAGACGGTTCGACCATAAAACTCCTCTTCCTGCTCTTCCTGGGTGCTTGCTCTCAATCCGACCCTCTGTTGAGGCGGGCATCAAAAAATGCTGTTATTACAACCTGTAGCTCGAACAACAGCCCTAGACCCACAGACCATCAGGTCGAGAGAGGCAAATGAAGCGGTAAATGAGTGGGGAGCTCTGGGTGCAGGCAAAATGGAGTTAGTTAAACATTGTTCATTTGTATATATTACCCATTGTAATGGTACAAAGCTGGTGGACAGCAAATCTTCCCTTGATGGCCCCTATGCTGTGTGCGACATTGGACCTGTACTGTACAGTAGTGATAGTTTTTGTTGTGTTTTTTTATCCACCACCTCTCCCTAAAACCCAAATGCCACAGTAACAGCAACACTTCTATAATTCAGTTTTTAAAGGGGTTGCTCTCCTTAGTTTGTTTTCAACATTTATTTAGAAAGTAATCAAAAGGAATCAAGATGTTATGAAATAACCTTCCCAACCTTGTCCATGGAATTATAAAAAGATGAAATGATAGATTTTTTAAAAGTCTTTCCCAAGAAAAGCAGTCCTTGTTTGATGAACGGATAATAACATTAAAGCCAGATATATTGTTTACCCTCTTTGTTGTTTTTGTGAATGGACAGCATTTTGGAAATGATTCAGTTTCCTGTTTCCTGTGCTGCTTCACACTGTTGCCTGTGTATCACGGCCCTGATGATGAATGTACCCGTCAGAAACCCCACAAACGTCTTGTTGCTACTAATCATCGTATCCCTCACTCCTCCCCTCCCATGTTCCCTCCCAGCGTGTTGAAAGTTTTGTTAAGTGTCTGTCTTCGTCTTGGGCTCGGCATCAGCAGTGAGTCATCCCTCCGCCCACCTGCCTCTCCTCCCCTCCTCCCCTCTTTTCTTTTCTCCTCTTTTTGATCTCCTTAAACCTCCCCTCGTCATCCACTCTGCTGCATCCCTCCTCCCACACACTTCGAGGATGCAGGATTTGTGTTTGTGTGTGTTGTCTTATGGTGTGTAAGAGCTGTAACGGAGCCAATATAATCCCCCCAGTTGTGTTTTCCCTCCCCTTCCCTTGCGTATGTAGCCTAGCATGGCGAGGCGCTCATTCGCATGTGCGTGTGATAGCGGGGAGGAGGCACGGCTGAGGGTGGCCCCGCCATGGGCAGGGACTGGGGCGGGGGCCCGCTCGGGTGGGGGTGAGGGTGGGCTTGGGCGTGGGATGCTCTGGATAGGGTGGAGGTGGCGGCCATGTGGAGGGGGTGTGGGTAAGAGGAGGAGGTGGAGGAGGAGGAGGCCTGCTGGAGCTGGTAGCTGGCCGCTGATGAAGGCCCAGAGGAAGAGGGCGTCGGGTGGGAGCCGCTGCCCCCCTTGGGCGGCGGCTGCGGTGGCGTCTGGTTGAGCTGGATGGAGATGTCGGAAGAGACTTCAGAGGCACTGCGGCCCCGCTGTGGTGGAGGCCAGGAGTCCGGGTGGAGGAACTGGCCGCTGTAGTCACTGCAGTCGGACATGCGGGGGCGGTAGAGGGCGGGATGAGGCCTATACAGCTCCTCCTCAGCATAACGCTTCATGAAGAGGTAGACGGACATCACTCCTGCACCCTGGGACATAGAGACATTGATAAATACACAGGAAACAATGGTTAATGCAATGTCATACATCTTTCTCAAATCTTTCTTCTCATCAATCTTCTAGCAGCTGCAGCCATCTTTTAATCTGGCCTGCCCTGCAAACTAGTGTCGGCGACATGCTTTTTCCACACATCACAGCTGTGATATTGGATGTTGTCAGAGCAACTTACAGAGACCAATCCAGCTATGCTTTCCCTCTTAATTCTAGTTTAGAGTTACTCTTTAAAGAGTTCTTAAATTCCAGCTTCAAAGCAGTATTTCACTGCCCCCTGTGGCGGCATCCCAGGTTATAGCCTAACCCACCCCAACGGGGGTGTTATGGCGTACTGACACACCCTGCAGTACACCTCTACTTGACTTCAACAACATTATTGAATAATAGGATGAAAATAAAAAAAATAAAAGGATAACTTGACCATTCTTTTGTCACCACCAACTTTGTGGAAATGCTTTTTATTTTTTATTTTTTTATTTTATTTTCTTACATAAGGAATTTACTTGACTGACAGAAATATGTCAAATGTATGCCATGAATGTCTTTCATATTTGTGTATGGCCTTGCAGAACTGGATCCAGATGCAGACTCACAGATTCTACAAATGTTCCATTCACTCAATAAGTTCAGAGGATTATGAACCCCCGAAGAAGGTCTGGGTACTTGTGGGTGCTTTCTAGTTTTTATTACAGCTTTTATGTTGCTTTTATGCACTGAATGAGTGCAAATATGGTTTTTCCCTCTTAAATTGTATTACTCCTGTAGGCACATTTTACAGGCATATTTTACAAAACTTTTATTGTTCTGTTATGCTTTCGTTTTATGTTACATTCTTATGTTGAGAAGCAGCAAGGATGACTTCTCCAGACAAATCAGACAAAATAAAGTTATCTTCTTAAAATATATAAGCATTATACAAAATAGTTTGATCACTTTACTTTCTGGCTGCAATTTTATTTGTAATTGGACATTTTATAAACAGATCTGTTTATGTAGTTCCAGACAGACAGTCATACAAACAAAGTGGATCTGATGAATAAATAAGTACATCAAACAGTGTTGAGAGTGCGTTTTGGGAAACAGAAATTGAGATGGAGAGAGACGAGACCCGTGTCTATTTCCATCCATGAAATCTCAACATCTGTATTACCGGAGGGAATCGAAATGAGCTGCAGACATTGCAGCAAATTCCCTGATGTAAAAAGCTTTTATAAAACATCAGAATCAGCACCGTCCTCCTCCCTACACTGCAACACACTGCCATCAGGAGGGGAAAAAAATTAAACAAATCCATAGTAATTTTGCAGAGAGTTGACAAAAAGCCTTGGCGCTCCTTGGTGGAATGAGCTATTATCACAAATGTATTCATGTTTGCACTCGGGCATCCGCTGAGCATTCACAGCTCATTCACTATTCATCCACAACATCATCTCTACAACCGCCCTTAAACTTTGGAATACTGATGAATGTGTTGGTGTCTGTGTGTGTGTGTGTGTGTGTGTGTGTGTGTGTGTGTGTGTGTGTGTGTGTGTGTGTGTGTGTGTGTGTGTGTGTGAAAATCCCATGTTTTGCAGCTCCAGTGCAGATTTGAACAAGACCAGTGAAGAAAAACAGAAAGAAAGGAGGAGGAACAGAGGGGAGGAGATAAGAAGAGACAAGAGAGGATCGCGAGGGAGGAATGGAAACAAAGGTAGAGAATATGAGCTGAGGGAAGACACAAACAAAAAGAAAAGGAGGGGAGATGATAGAACAGAGGAGATAGGAGAAAAAGAAAAGAGATAATAAAGGATTAGAGAGGGGGAGAGGAAAAAGAGAAGACAAAAGTAGAGGAAGAAATAAGCTGAAAGAAAGGAGCAGGAAGAGAAGTCGAGAGAAGGGGAGAAATGCTGGAAGATGAAGTGGGAGAAGAAGAGACAAAGAGGAGATAAGATGAAAGGACAGAAGGCGAGAGGAGAGGGGAGGAGATAAGACAGGAAGAAAAGAGAGGGGAAGGGACAACGGAGGATTAAAGAACTGAAGATAAAAGAAAAAAAGGAGAGTCGATAAAAGTAGAGGACACGTAGAGAGAGAGAGGGAAGAGACTGGAGGAGGAAAAGAAGGAGAAAAGTGAGGAACGAGAAGAGGAGGACAGAGATGAAAAGAGAGGAGTGAAGGATTGTGAAGGAGTAGCAGAGCACCCCCCCCCAGCAAGGAATATTCTGATGCATATGAAGCTGTGCTGCGACAGAGCTGCTGCCCTCAAGTATTCAAGCTATTAACATTTATGAATATTGATGCAGGCAGGATGACGGGCTCCTACGCAGGCACTTTTTAAATTTGTGTGTGTGTGTGTGTGTGTGTGTGTGTGTGTGTGTGTGTGTGTGTTTAGCTGAATAAGTCTGTATTTCAACAAGCTACAAGCAAGTTGTGTGTCAGTGTTTATACATGTTTTAGTGTGTTTATCTAAACGCCGGTTGGTCGACAACCAAGACAGATTCCCAACAATCTGTGTGCATGTGTGTGTGTGTGTGCGTGTGTGTGTGTGTGTGTGTCTGTGCACATTAAGTCCTTTGTCCGTTACGTAGCGTCAGTAAATGTTAAGCATCAGTGCATATTAGTGTCACTGTGAACTGCTCTGTGTGCGTTTGTGAGTTTACTCGAACGCATCTGCAGTGTGTGTGTTGGTTTGTGGATTTTATGTGTGTGATTATTTGCATGTGTTGTGCGACTACATCTGAGTGTGTGTCTGTGCATATTGTTCTTCGATTACCTCTTTAAGCAGGAAGGAGGAGGCGGCGAAGGCGAACGACCAGCCGTAGCGGTAGTGGAAGAACTGCTCTGGCTCTCTGGGACGGTTCATCACCTCGTCATTAATACTGGAGATATACAAGACCAGACCAACCACCAGACTGAGACCTGCGCACACACAAACACAGACACACACACATACAGTATTCATACTGTTATTTCTACAAATACAGAGGGTTTTACGGTGATGTACTGCACCCTCAGGAGGTCCTCTCTCCCATTTGCCTTTAAAAAGGGGATGCAAGCTTTATCAATGCTGCTGATCCTACTTTGTCCACTACATGATATCAGCCCAATAACAGCCCTAAAGGACATCAGGAATGAAAACGGGCATTGCACGTGATAAAACAATAAATTGTTGTGCCCAGTGTGTCATAGTGGACGCTTTATCTGAGACAAGCATGTTAGAGTATTATTGCCTTCCAAGATGAATTCTATGACTAATCCAAATGTTGACCAATAGAAGCACAAAGTGCTCTTCTGTGCACAACTGTAAACACAGTGTAGTGAACAAAGGAAAGAAAGTCAGTTTTTCTTCCCAATCACAGCCCGGTCCCCTGCACCTCCGTTTTGATAGGACCAGTCATAGCCAATCAGTAGTCTGTCAGGTCGAGTCTCTGACACAGCGAGCATCGTAGCAACACAATGCTGCGGCAGCCACAAGGAACACATTGACATTCTCACAAGTATTCCCCCCCCGCAGCTAACCAGGTATCATCACGACCAAACACCGGTCTAATTCAAGGCATTAGCAGGGTGCAAACTACAGGGGAGCCAGGGGGAGCTTGGCTTCTCTTAACAAAAAGTTACCAAAAAGTTAACATGCTGTTAACTTTTGGTCCTTGACAATACTAATACTAAAGTACAGACAATATGCTATTTTTGCCATGAATTTTTCTGTAACTTTATCATCATGGATTATGTATAAAATTAGGCTATTTTTGATGTATATATGTGAGTATTAAATATCAGAAGTAGACCTACATGGTTGTAGCTATGAATGTTAATTGCAACTAAAAAACAAACAAGTAAGCTCCCCCAAAAGCCATGGTACAGTTCGAACTCTGGGCATTAGTCATATTCTCTTCACCTGTGTGAACCCTGTAGACTCTGTCCTCTCTCTACAATTTACTGATGTTCATAGCAGAGCTGTGCAGGGATCAAATCAGGAGATGTCTATTCCACTATATTTTGGCCAAAATATGAAAGTTTGGAAAATACTGCATGTAGGATGATAAAGAAGAAGTGAAACTCGGTCACTATCTTGATCACAGCACACATTCTGACTTGTCCAAACAGGAAAAGGTAGAACTGATAGTGTTACTGATGGCATTATTGCATTTAGGTGAGCCAGTTCCAGGGGCTCTGGTACTGTGCTCGCTCTCTCACTGACAAGACTCACTGGGACACTTAATGAGTCATCGTTTATAATACTATTTACACCTGACTCAAGCTTACTACAGGTGCAGCAAGCAACAGCATTTATAATGCCACCTATTAAGTCTACAGGAGATGAGTGTGCTACCAATGAGTAATGAGTCTTCCAGCAGGTCTGCAGGTTTAAGAATGGATCTATTACCCCCCCCATTACCAGATAATCTGGTCCCAAACATTGTGAGCGACCAAGGAAGTATCTGTTCTGATCATTAGGGGGAGTGAATCTGAGGTAAAGTGACTCAAAACTCCTGTATTCTGAGCCAGGCAAAGGCAGAACCATCTTCTTGTTTCAACGCCTGATTTTCGGTCAAACGAAATTCATGCAAGTTAAATTAAAAATCACCATGGGTCGAGTCACGTACAGTCAAATCAAATGTAGGTTTAATATTGTGTTCAGTAAAAGTGCGTCCTGGGTGCATTTTCTGGACTGAAAGAGGTGTAATGCTAAACAGAACATAAGTAAAATGTCAGACCAGGTCAACAAACTGAGAAGGAAGAGGCAGAGAATGACATTTAGTTATTTTTGTTTGTTCCATCCCTCACAAAAGCACTACAAACTACAAATAACTAGAAAACCAGGAGGTGGCAAGGCTAATATTGCATTACCCTTGTTACCCTGTAATACCAATCCCATTTGAACGGGGCTTTAGTCTCTTTGTATTTGTGTTTGTGCGTGTGTGTGCGCGCGCTCTGTAGCTGGAATAGCTAATGATAACGTGTCCTCGTTGTACTGTAAATAGGCTGAGAAAACCCCAACAACAGGCTGTGCTGTGGTAAAGAGATAAACAAGAACAGTCACACACACACACACACACACACACACACACACACACACACACACACACACACACACACACAATAACAGGCACTTGTGCTTGCGGTCAGATTCGTGCACAAGACACACATAAATGGGAATACACACTAAAGTATACAAATCCTCACACACACACACACACACACACACACACACACACACACACACACACACACACACACACACACACACACACATGCATACAGTGAACCCTCATTAGGAGTGTGTCAGTGCTTCCTCCCCTGTCGACAGACTAACCACTGCAGCTGACCTCCAAAATCCTCCAGCAGTGAAACTCTGACACACTAAACACAGCAAAGATGCTTCCCCTTAAAGACACCTTACAGCTCGTTTTCTCCCAGAAACGATCACAGATATGTTAACATGCACAACAATGCTAAAGACAAATGAAATAATTAAACACTACCCTACACGGACTCTCATTTGAAAATATGTTAAGCCGGATTTAGGCTCCTGCGTCAGGGTGTCGCAGAGGCTCTGTGGCTCAGCTGTGCTCCTCCTTAAAAATGTAACTACATGCCAGGGCTGCAGAGATACAACATCTTAACCACAACAGTGATTGGTCAGCCTGTTGCATGTGGTTCCTCTTGTTCCTGCGCCAGTGGAGGCAGTATCCGTGCAAAACATGGACGAACGAAAGAGAGACGTCTTTGTCTCTTCTTAGTAACACTACCAATTGTACTTTGTGATCTGGCGAAGAATATCACACATGACAGACGTAACATGATGAAAAGGACGCAAAAGACAAAACAAGATGAGGCACACGAGAGGGAGACTTGACACTCCTTGAGGTTTCAGTTAGCTTTGCACAGAAACAGCCAGTAGGAAAGTCAGAGTACTTTTTAATGTTATACTTTAAATACAGAGCCTGTACTTTTTCCACAGCCTGTACTTTTCGAGTAAAGAAGTTGAATCACTACTTTTTTAGTATCTGTACTTGAGTAAAGAATGTGTGTACATTTTCCTCCTCTGGCAACAATCCAACACTATACAGTAGCTCTACACCAACTGAATTGGTAAGGGCCTTGAAGTGGGTTCATTATCACCTAGTCTAGTCTTAAAACCTTCCTTATAATAATATATTATTTCAATTAAGTGATGACACACAGCAAACCAAAGGATACGAGAGACGAGAGAGTGAGAGTATGGGGCTAAACAGGGACACCCCCAAACATATAGAAGTTTTTATAATGCTTTATACATGCCATCTTAATAAAAACATGCACAAACGCTCCATGATCTGCCTGCAGTCGTACATAATTTATAACAACGCAGAAAAACAAGGTATTGCTGTTCTAACCAACAGAGAATCTTTATCTGAAAACAGATTAGCAGAGCACCACCTGCTCCTGATTGGAAATACCTGCTCAACACTGGCATTGTGTGGTGTCGCAGCTGTGCAAAATGGGGCTAATCAAAGCAGGAGACACATAGTCCTTAAGGAGGCATGCAGGAGATTTGTTCGATATTAAGTGATGGAACAAATGTGTCCTGTGAGTGAAGACGGGTTGAAGAAACCAGAAATAGGATATGTAACATGGACACATTTCTTATTTTACAACTCTTTATCCAGACAATTATAATGATATTTGCATTATGTAGATATGCAGTTACAAAAAAATGCAGATCATTTCTTGTTTCCTGGCAAAATGTAAATCTTTCACACAATTCTTTATGATTTAAGATTTTGGAGAACAAAAGAAGAGCATGGCAGCTCCCAGCCTCTGTACAATTAACCAGTAGGTGCTAATTGTTGCCCCAACATAAAAAAACTTGACATATCAAAGTGCACTTTATAAAATCTATGTTTCATTTGTCCTTTATCATGGACTGACCGCGATGCAGAGGTGGAATGTAATTAACTCAAGTGCTGTAGGTTCAAATTTCCTTTTCATGCTACTTTCTATGCGGGGTAATATTGTGAATTTTACTTTACTACAATTGTTTTACAGGTTTATTACTTTACAAATTAACATATGAAGAGCTCATATGTATGTATTTTTTTATAAGTGCAACTACCTAACAGTTTATACAAGTGCAGTCAATAAATGAATTACTACGAAATGAATTGGTAACTAGTTTGATAATTGTTTTGTGAGGATTTCCTGCTTTTTATTTAAAAAATGTTAAGTATTCACATTGATTTTGAGGTTTGGACTGTTGATTTGTCAAAATAAGCATTGTGTAAGTGTCTCTGTGGGCTCTAGTTTGTAAAAAACAGAATATAGTGAGAAATGCTGTCACAATTACCTAAACAATCAGCTAATGGACTAAATAATCAGCTATTAATCTATTATGAAAATAATCCTTATGCAGTACTGTACAAAATAGTTCAAACTGAGCTTCAACTCCACCAACTGTAAAATACTGCCTTTACATTAAAGCATGAGTCATGATAATCTAATGATATAAAATATATAGTAGTAAAACAGTCACAGGGGACATTTTTCTGCATTGATACGTTAAGTACATTTCCTGATTATACTTCCATAGGCACTACTTTTACTTAAGTGACAAATGCAGGAATAATTTACTTGTAATTTTACAGTGTGACATTAGTACTGTCTCCTTTATAATATCAGTTCTCTGTTAATTTAAATTGCTTCAAGAAAAGCTGAAAAGTGATTGGTTAGTATGAATGGTAACACAGACAGATGGACGACCAGACAATGAAAAGAGTGCCGAACACAGAGATAGGACTGTATAATAAAAACTGCTACTTAAATGCAGTGTTATCAGTCGTTTCCATTAAATATGGAGAATAAGTCAAACTGGTGTTATTGTGAAAAGGGGAGAGACTAATGAACCAGAGAGCTGTAATTCCCTTTGTTGGCCA